GTCCTTAGTCCGGTTTGACCAATTGAAGAGGCGTAGGGCTAACGGCTTGGCTCCGCAGGTTGGGCTGAATTGTCGTGAGCACTATGTTTTAAGGGTTAGTTGAATATCCGAGCTCATTTGCCGGTCAATCCTCCGAGTGAGCCGTTCCGGATATGCATGTCCATTTGGCTTGGTGTAAGTTGATGGTATCAAGTGACGATAATGAACTTTTGTAACACTGACTCGTATGAGATAACATGGTTTCGATGGAGCGGTGAGGCTTTAACCTAGTTCAACAAGAAATTCAACAACTCTGTATAAAGTAAACTGTAATTGATATTGGGGCGAGCCATGTGCTGAACTCACAATATGTACGGACATAAAGCTTAGATACATAAACTTTTACCAAGAAGTAAACAACATCGTTCCATCCGTCTCTCATAACATTTCATCAATCGTCTAGCAGCTCGTGGTGACTCCAGAAGTAGTGCAGTACTTGCCATCAGGGCCAGATCCGATCTTGGAAGGCTCAGCGCCGCTTGAGTTACCCTCGTAGCGGTCGCAGTACTTGCCCTTGTTTTGGCATGAGCTGCTGATCTTGCAGGTGTCTCCGTAGTTGGTGTTAATGCCGCAGAGAACACCACCGTCGACGGCAACAGACCCTGTGATGACAACGTTTCGAGGACCGCCGTTATCCTTGCAGTTTCCGCAGCTGCGGACGAGCTTTCCGTAGTCCTCGGCGTAGAAATCCTTGATCTGGACGGTTCCACGGCCGTTGAACTGGACGATCTTGTCGCTAGCATGGAAAGCACCGCCACCGTTGATGTAAGAAGTTCCACTGGTCTGCTTGAGGGTGATGGCATCCTCACAGACATCGGCCCACCAGACGTTGTTCAGGGTGCTAAAGTCAAAATCAGCATGAGAAACGGTGAGTCGAGAGAAACTTGCTCACCAAGTACCCTTGCAGTGGACACCTTCGGCCTGAGATGCGCCGATGATCACATTGGAAAGAGTGGCGCCGTTCTCGAGAATGAACATAGCATCCTTCTCACCAGTTTCAGTCTGGCCTTGGCAAACAGAGGCTAAGAGAAAGTGTTAGTCAGAGGTTTGGAGACAAGGTATAAAGAGGCTTACGGCTTCGCTCGAATCGCTTCATGCCGCCATCGTAGCTGCCCTTGACAGGAACAGCAGTAGGGAATGAAGTAGCACCAGCAGACTTGGGGAGAGTCTTGGTGACAGCGGCAGAGGAGACGCCAGCAAGGGCGAGGATGGCAGTGTACTTCATGATGAATGAGTTGAGGTTATTCTGAAGATGTATGTAGTCAAAGCTGTAGGTCGTGATGCTGAGTGAAAAGTCTCTTGGCTCACTGGATCTCTCATCCCTTATATGTTCATCAACATTATGTGTTATTTCTTCTTGATATATCGGTTTCAATCAATCTTCCCCTTGTTCTCAAGGCCCCTGGACCTGTTTTTCGCTCATTGCACCAATTAGCATCGTATAATCACGCTCGAGTCCGAAAACGGCAAGCTAGTCACCAAAGTGAAACTCCGTTCAATGTTACATCTCGAACCAAAGCCAATTCTCATTCGAGGAATAAAAAGTCATAATTCTCCGTCTCGACTCGTTATTTGCGGAGACCAATCAAATGACCTGATTTCTACTCAACTTGCTCGATATGATCAGCTGCACGACGACCCGAAGTCTGGGGTAATGGAGATACTACCCCCAATATGAGCATGGGGAAGAATGAAACTAGTAAGGCTGGATGAGAGTCACGGGGCAAGATTGGTGGAATTTCGATCTTGCTTGTTTTTAGTGACGTGTCCACCAATTAAGCTTACCTGGAATATGAACAACTTTTAGTTCGATGCGGATCTTCCACGGGCATAATTGAAGGTAGTAACGTCTGACCCTCGTGGTTTAAAGCCGTGTACCCGTGAGGAATAATTTTGCACCTACGAGAGGCCAGCGATCGTCATGTTGTATCTGACCATAACCCTGCAGTGTTCTAGGCTTGAGTGAATAAACAGAGTCTCTCCTTCTTAAGCTTTAAGGTTACTTAGACCGCAACACGCTTGGATACCAGAGATACTTTGGGGGCAGCGGTGATGTCCGATTCTGGGGTTTGTGGACCAGATACGTATCCTGAAGCTTCAAGACTCTAGATGGTTGCGTGAACAGAGAGACGGTATCGAAACCTCATGTTTCTCAAGATCTGGAAGAGCATTGTTTCGAATTGCTGATCATATAGGTCATAGACTATATGCTGGAAGATCTACAGGGCCACCAGATGGTCCCAATAGCATGGGGCGCCAAGGGCAACTGCCGACAGGACCCTGCGACTTGGCAGCGTGGCTTTGACACGAACCGCGTGACAGGTGCATGATGCACCTAACTAGATGATAATTCTTCGAATTTGAGTCTGTAAAAGTTGGGTTTACTATCGAATACACATCTATAGTTGATGTAAAACCCAGCAAACTGTTCCTTTACTTCACAAAGTGATCTAGATCTCGCTGACCGCCTGCATCAGAGGACCCCCTTATGAGACTTAATTTTCGTAATTCACCGAGTTTCTTACTCCCAAGAGTCATCAGCGGGCTTTTCTGTCCAAAGTTCGGCTACTGAGGACTGATATGGCGATCTCCAGATGACCCAAGCATCATAGTTTACCTTGAGGCTCCAGTTCAGTCTTATTAAGATCAATGATTACGGAGATGAGGATCATGATTAGTTTTTGGACCGTGATATGCTATTGTAGCATCTGAAAACATCCTGACAGATAATAGATATACAGCAGGCCGTTTTCGTCAAGCCTTGTCACTCTTTTAAAAATGTTGAAGCGAGGGACAGTTTCCCAGCAGTCATTATAGTAGGGTATCATATTAAATCTCATCACGCTTGCTTCCATATGCAGAAATTCTCAAACAATAACCAGCTCCCCTTCAATTCGTGGCCACTCCAGCAACAACTCCCTCATCCATTTCCAAAATTCCTCCTGGGCCCATTGCCGTAACAGCTGCAAGTTATATATAATCTTGTAGATTCCCATTGAGCTTGATGTATCTCCAAAATTCTTCTTCTGCCAGAAAACCGTCTTCTCTCCCTCTGGCGTCGTAATGATGAGATGCCAATCGTGTCCTTGGATGATAATACCAGGTATGAAATCTGGTAAGTTCCATCTCTTGTCGCTGGTAGTCGTGAGCTCTTGTGCACGTTGCCGTAACGAGAGCAACTGTCGGAGGAATTGCCAATGGGCCGCCATCCAGACTTCCATCTGAAGCCTGGCGTTCTCCCAGCCTTCGCCTGTCTTCTTGGTTTCGATACTAACGGCGATAGGATTGTCGGAGAGCGGGGCTAGATTTGCGTGATTGAACATGCCGAGTGGGAGGATGTTCTTCAGGGCATCAATGGTTTCTGAAACTTGGGCAGATTCATCCTTCTTAGGATCGAGATACATGCAAAAGTCAACTTTCTTAGACGCTGACGTCACATGATACTCAGTGATGATTGGAGCAGTTGTACTAAGACAGTCAGAAGTTGCAAATTTTGCTGGACCGAATGTACTCACCTGAGTCGAAAGTCAAAGAACTGATCACTCCTAGGACCCTGCAATGGCCTCAGAGCAGCAGAAAGAACACGATGGTGAACTTCAACGTTCCAATCTGCCTCCGAGCAACCTCTACTGTTGCAATAGGCAGCCTCATGAAGAATCCACTGTACAGCCTCTGGCGTTGGCGTATGCCCGAGTTTGTTGCGATCGTCCGAAAAGAGGATGTTGCTCAGAACAGGTTGTCTGGTCCACTTGAACTCCCCGTATACGGAACGTTGAGATGAAGGAAGAATTCCAATGCCCGCCGAGGCGAGATCAATCTTGCCGAGGAGAACTTCCAACGGTTCTGGCATATTGGGAAATGCGCTGAGTTCTCTGGTGATGACGCCTCTAGTGTTGAGCGCAAGCGCGCGGAGTTGTTTGGTTGGCGAGGATCTGCCTGATGCTTGTGATGCTGACTGTGTTGAAGGTAGAGAGGTGCCGGATTCACTCCTCGGGGTCCTTATCCGTCTGGATGGACGAGGGGTTTCAAATTCATCGCCATGGTCGGTGAGAGCGTGCTTTCTGGGACTAGCCATGCTGTTGTCGCCTTGTGAGGCTTCTGGGGAAGGGAGGTTTAAGCGACGGCGCTTTGGACCTTGTCTCGTCTGGGGAGTAGATGTCGAGCCTGCTTGGATCTGTTGTAGCCAGATGTGTATCCGATTCTCTAGCGACATTGTCTTTGCGCACGAGAGTGAGTGGTTGTGCTGTCGTGGTCGTGTCGTCGACCAATGTTCAATTGCTCGATACTAATGTTGTCATTGACGTTTGTTGTTTCTATGCCCTAGGATAAAGAAGGCAGAATGCGAACCATTTTGATGATTAAGCGTTATCGCAATGATCTGATTGGATATAGAACTGATGTGTTCTTATCGGCACCTAGATTCTGCCTTTTAAGTGTCCTAAGGATAGCGTTGTCGTGGCAACATTTCTAGCGTTGCAGAAAATTGGCGGGTTCTGATTGGGGGCATAACGGCAACCCTGGCTCAGCCTGCAGGGATTCTGAAAATGTTGCTAAATTGCCAGGCAATGGATGAATGACCTTTGAGAGGGTTAAAATTGAATTGCAGTGTAGAGAGAATCATTTAACGCTCAGGCCAACATTGCATGTTGGTCGAGTTGACAGCGGCAAGTATTTTCAGCTCCGAAAGTCACACGTATGATCCAATCTGGCCGGAAAGAATAGCGGCTCACGTCCAAATTTAGTGAAGGACATGGATGTTTACGAGACAAGAGCAGTCCTACACGACAAAAAGACTTGGGCACATTCACTGTAAAGCTGGGCAAGCTTAGCATAGACTTGATTAAATTCATTATTGATTCAGTAGGCTCTAGACTAGCTAATGTTTGCACCCTAATAAGGATAGACAAGGGGGAAAATCGTCGAACGAAGCAAAACCCCCTCATTGATCTAGATACATCCCCTTAGCGGAACCTGTGCTCGTAGTACTTGTGCTCAAGCCAGATACGGTACATGCGCTCTTTAGGGTTTGGCTGCTTTCCGTCGACATCCAGCTGGTTGTTGTCGTACTCGATAAGGACCTTTCCATTGGCTCTGTTGTGGAACGCTTCAAGCTCTGCCTCACTCTCGGGCTTGAGATAACCGCGGGTAATGACCTGAACACCGTTCAAGGGCTCGCCTCGTCCAGTGATATGAGACAAAAGCTCGTCGACCTTGGCCTTGTACAGAAGGACTGGATTTCGCTCTGAGGACGTCTTGGTACGGGGTGTTGAGACGTAGATCTTGACATTGTTGGCCTTGTTAAGAATGCCGCCGGACTTGGCTAGTGATCGAGGGGTGATGAATTTGTTGGTACCCTGCTGGAGAGGCTTGATGATCTTGTTCTTCCAGTTGTCTCCGCGATCGAGGAAACCAGTGTCCATCTATAGCAATTAGATCTCAAACTCGAAGAGGACACCCGGTCAAAAAGATGACTTACAAAATGAGCGAACCAGTAGCCCTTGTCAGAGACGATGACGATGCCAGTGCAGCTAGAATCATGTTAGTAAAGTAACTCCGACAGCTGACATTAGGACTTCATCCTGAATAGTGAAGATATTCAGACATTCATGATTGTTTAGCCATAAACTTAGTCCGTGACTTACCCCATAAGACCCCGGATGTACTTCCGCAAGGGCTTTTCACCCCAAGATCCTTGCCCTGAGACAGCATCATGCTGGATAAGGTTCCAGTCCAACTCGTCGTCCTTTCCAGCGACACTGTCAATCTGCTCCATGACATATTCGTTTGCTGCCGATGCATCGGTTCCCCAAAGGTCCTCAATATCATCCAAAGACCTCTCTCCTAGTTCCAGAGAGCGAGGAATGGATTTGCCGTTGCCCTTGCCCCTCCCTTTGCTAGGGATCCTGCTAGGGATTTTGCTAGGTGCCTTGCCAGGGATTCTGCTAGGGATCTTGCTGGGTGTCTTGTTAGGCGCCTTGCCTTTGGGTGCGTCTTTGCCTTTCTTTGGGGCGGGTTTGGCTGAGCAGGCCCTGCAAGTCATGTCACAGACAATGGCGGGCTTCGTGATTGCCTTCGAGATGGCCCACTCATGAATGGCAGATCCAACGTCACTGACATCAGACAAAGAAGAACCAGATGTCTTCGAAACGGGAGAGGCCAAGGCAGAGCAAGCCAAAGAGAGGACAAAAGTGGCGAGGCGGACCATGGTGAAGGCGGCCTAAGTGAAGGTGAAAATGAAAGTGAAAGTGAAAGAATGGTAGTTATGAGAAACGAGTGAAAGATGTTGTAATGAAAGAATGAATGGAATGAATGACTACTGATGCATCTCGAACTTAGGGACTATTGACTACAATATATAGACCAGAGGTTGTCGTGAAGACCTTGGGCCCTGGCAAGTGATAGGATGCAGAGGTTTTCAACTGCCGAACTTGGGGTCCAAGAAAGCTTAGAACATATGTGATATGTGCCGAATTGACAAAAATAACCCATCTAAATCCTTCTTCAATCTACACGAAGTTTAACTGAACATTATTGTCATTTGAGATAGACGTCTTAAGTCATCTTGATCCCTGATGCCGAAGTCGACGTCAACTCTATTCTGATTCATAGGGATCTTGCTCGGTGAAGCCGACTCTCATACTCTTGAAGTCGATTGGGAGAGTATACGAAGCCGTGGGACTGAGCCATGTTAATCCCTGATATTAGCCAAGAATACTTTGAAGCAAAATATTATTTCATGCTATGCATGCTAAGAGCCAGCTGGACAGGCCTGTGGTTGTGCAGGGCAAGCACAGACATATCTCTGTTTCAGCATTTGGTAGCCGGATTTAAATTCATCCAAGACAAAGCTTGTCGGCAAATTCCGTACAGACTATGTACGTTTTGGGAACTGGGTCTATAGCCAGTGTCATATTGAAACATGGACGGCACAACCCTCATTTGATGTAATTCTCAACGAGATGTCTGGGGTATTTTCAACAAGAACCTCATCTCTTCAGTGTTGCCCAGCCCTTGCCTTTTCGGCTTTTACTACTTTATTTTACTACTCCATTCCGCTACTATCAGCTCCTTGTTCAGCAGAGAGGAGGAAGTCAGTGCCATAAGAGCGAGGCAAACAGAAAAACGCACAGAGTGGCTTGTCCGAGTTATACAAGAAGGCAGTACTGTAGCCTTTGTCTTACAATTGAAACCCATCATTCCCCTCTGCTTCGATCTATAGTAAAAGGTTTGCGCATACTATAGCCATATCCTTTCTCAAACGTAGCAGCGTAGACAATTCGAGTCCCAAACAGTACCTTGCCAGGCTGATCTACGACGTATTTGCAGCTTGTCTGAGCATTGAAGTTTATAGTGTCGGACCGACAACTTGACCTGCTTGAATTGGCCAGAACACGTACGCAACGAAAATGGAATAAGAGAAAATAAAGAGACGGGAAAATAATTAAGCTTTCAGCCGTTTCAGGTTTGACAGGTTGCATGAATTTCTGGAGGATTCCCGGTAGTTGGCGCAATATCTGTATGCCTGGTGAGCTGTATTGAGTTTTTCTCCTGTAGCTCGGGTCCTCATTGGGTACAAAAGTATTTGGTAGTTACTTATAAGTGAGGTCAAAGGAGAGAATAGCATGGGGCATCACCTATCTCTGGGGCTTCTTGAACTCACCAGCCTACTACCGCCTACCTACCCCGACCATTCATCATAGTAGCATGCCATGTCCTGCATGAACTTAGCGATGCAGTCTCCGCATCCCCGCCGCATGCTTAATGATGCGATCCGCGAAAAATCTCTATCGCAGCTCATCGCTGCCATGGAAATGATCAAAGCCGACCCTCGGTTTCTTTGTTCTCTTCAAGAGTTTCTTCCATCGATCCTAGGACGTTGTGTCCGACATGGGAGCATCGACTTGGTGAGATATCTTCTCGAGTGTGAAAAGGCACCTGTCGAGTCTCTTTCACCCCTTGCTGTCGCTGCAAATACCTCCATCCCTCTTCTCGAACTGCTCGTGGATCATGGCTGGGATCTCAACAAGGCTGAAGCCCACAGATTTCTTAAGCGGGGCGATAAACTAATCGACCTCGTCTGCGACGATCATCAGTTGGTTTGCTGGTTGGTTGAGCATGGCGCACGGGTCACGGACGGCGAGGTGGACCTCTATGAGATCTTCCCACAGCCGGCTCCATTACTAGAGACGTGCGCTATCAGGGGCTCTATTGCAACGTTCCGCTTTCTACAGAGTAAGGGAGCATTACTGGGCCATCGGACGCTTCATCGAGCAGCCGGGGAGGCGGCGTCATTTGGTGCAAACCCTTTCACTTATCGAGAAGTCCACGATGAGATGACTGAAAAAGAGTCCAGGACAAGAAAGGACCGAACGGAAATGTTGGTGTTTCTTGTGGAGGAGTTGAAACTGGACATCAACGCGATGGACTCTGCTGTGCCATATCGCGCTTACCATTGGGGAACTCCTCTATGTTATGCTGCCGCAAAAGAGAAAGGAACTCATGTAATAAGGTGGCTGCTTGAGAAGGGAGCTCAGCCTACAGTTGAGGCTGCACAGAATGTTGCTGACGCAGAGATGCTGGCGAAGCTGACAGGATGCACAGAGAATGAGAGAATATTGCGTGAGTGGAAGCAGATGCACTGAGATAGAGGAGTGATGTTAGACAATTCTTTTAATATGATATGCGTATCTAGAAGACAATACTCTGTGATTAGTGTCCAAGACTGGAATATAGAGAGATTATGACGCGGTTGAAGGACTGAGAGTAGGCCTTGGGTGATGTATCGATTCATGCTTCGCCAACCTTCGTATAGATATGCCATAAGTAGGTATGCAAGCGACAACACGCCTTTGCGTCACCCAGATAAGGAGCTTCTCTTGACCTCCTTTTTTATAGTGGGGATTTCATAGTTTCTCATCCAAGCAGAGGAGAAGCGGTGAGGTGATGGAGATACTGAGAAATTGACACGAGAACCGTAGTGTAGGTAAAAGGCAAATAGGAATTCCAAATGGAAGACGAAAAATTGATAAAATAGAGAAAGAACAGCCGAGAAACTTGTTAGAACCCAAGCCTATGTTATTATCGGGGGCATGGAGTTTGTGCACTCCATGGTGTCTTTGAGGAGCGAAGGATGATACAAGCTAGTAGGTGAAACTCGATGGGTCTAGCTACGGAATATAAGCTTAGAACGATCCGGATCGTATGATCTTCACATGCGCAGTGGCTGTGCAGAGACGACAAGGGAGCCACACCATCATGCAGATAGATTAGATCAGATCTTTGCGGGGAGACGATCTGTGGCTGGCCACTATGCCTGGGTATCAGAATATATCGTGGGCCCGCTTTGGAACATATGATATAGTCAAGGCTCGTGAATATATTTGTTGGAAAGTCTTTGAGCCTGGATACATTGACCGAAGCCGAAGGAAAGAGGCTCATTGCGGGTTGCCCAATCCAAGGGCCTATGGTCAGTCACCAATCTACTTGTAAACTGTTAAGATGTCACCACTGGGCTAGAGGTTCTTGTTGTTGTGTTTGCGATCATGAAGCTCATGATTCAGACATGGTGTTGTCAAATGGAAATGGACATGTGCATTCGCAAGTCATGTCAATCATCTGGCTTGTTGGAAGTTGGAACTACGACATATGCTTGCATTGAGGAGGCCTTGATGTTCAATTCCCTTACTACACAATTGTTTCAAATTGTATTTTACTCACTATTTTAATGTTCTTCCAAACGCATGTACAGGGTAGTCCTCACGAGGCCTTCTCAACACTGTCCAGACTGATCTGCCCGGATTTACAAGGATGGAACAATGATATGATACTCTTTCACCTTCTGGATACAGAATGCCAACGAAAACTCCAAATAGATGCCTGCCCGGAGATCGTATGTTGGAAACTCTCATGTGAACTGCAAAAATTTCCCACCGCCCCCAAAATCTCCCACAAATGCGGAGGATGCGGGATGTAAAACCTCGCTTGCCCGCGGTCTCTCTCGTCCCAAAGGACCGATAAGCTCGTCAGGAGAAGTCTGCAGAAAAAAAAGGGGGGTTCGACTCTGTGGAGGAGGAGTGGCTCTGGGGGAGGCAACAGCTCCTCGGCGAAATACATACCTACACGCCCCATGAAGGGGACTGGACTGGGGAAGAAAAAAGAGGGCGACGAGGCGGATACACGACCTGTGGGTAGGACCGAGAGAGAGACCCGGGGGAGCGTTTATCCTGCGTGAGATGGGGAGGGTTGCATGCGTGCGTGCTGGCAGGTTATCCCCGGATGGAGATTGAGGGGATTAGCAACACGGAGAGATTGGAGAAGGTTTGGATCGGTGAGACGTTGGAGATGTTTTGAGGTGAGAGATTTAGAGGTGAGGATCAGCACGACGTCAACAGACATAGAGTTCAATGGCCTAGCATAGTACAAGCCTCAATTATGTATATAAAATTTCACAAGAAGAATCTGCTAGTCAAATGATACAGTTGGTCATTTGATCAAGTGCATATTGATCTCGTGTCTAGACTTGAGTAGTTTTGACCGCATGTGATATTAATCTCGGTTCATGTATATTGCATTTCAACTGGTTTGTCATAGGAAAAGAAGACTATGGCTGTCTCCGAAACAAAGACCACAACCGTCATCCGACAGGATGGTCAAGATCAGGCCGTGGTCGACTGTCATTGCCAAAACATTCCGATATCCTCCATATTCTAGACCCCGTTCCAAGGAAACGGACTTCTCCATGCCATCCATCACCCACGATCTCTAACTTTTTTCTCTCTCTCTCCGCGATTAATTGCCGTGCATGTGCATGTTGCGCGGGCTCCGCACTCCGTTAACTTTACTCTGTTCCTTGGCTTCGACTTGGATGGAACGGCTTAAACGTTCGGGTCCGAATAGCGTCCACTAATTATAAGTGGGAATACGCATCGAGTATCGCCGAGTGCCTCTTTATTTCGGCCCGTGTGGATACGGTATCGTGTTCCGCCGTTGCAGAGCCGCATTAGCATGGGTGGGTGACTTTTATGATGCCACGGGTCCAGGGGTAAAGGAGGCTCTGCGGGAATGGAAACAAGGCACGGAGGTTCGAGAACGATTCTTTGTGCAATGTCGAGTTTGTGTAAGTTGGCGCGTGGCGATTAATCCGACGACAGTCGGTGATGGATGCAATTCAGATGCGCAAATCACGACAATTGAATGCATGCTTCTCTACCTTCTGTGTTGGGTTGTTTTGCTTTGTCGCAGATAACAAACAATGCCTGCTCGGTGTTATCTCGCACCATGGCATGCCCTGTCTTGATCTTCTGTCTTTGTTCCAATTGAGTTTCCAAGGCTTATCTCTGGACCCAAAAATGACCGAGCACAGCGACGTTGCTATCCAATCCATGAGCTCTGTTCTAACCATGGAGCTTCAATAGCTGAGCATGCTCCGCTCAATTCGGCCAGTCTCTAACATGCGTGGATAAGACTCGAGACATTTGGCCGAGTTTAGACCATTTGAGAACCATTACGAGAGACAACAAAATAAACCTCACGAGAATGCAGGAAATAAAGCGGCGATTTGGCTTTGTCGGAAATACCGTTAAAAAGATCAGATCAGATGCGGTATCTGACGGGAGATGAATGCCGTGACAATAACATCATGTTTTATTTGGCCACAATCAGAATCAGGAATTCGAGAGGGAGGAAAAAAAACACCAGAATCTAGCATTCGGAAATAAAAATCTGCGCGAGCCCGACGTTCCAATCATCAGTCGGACCGACCGATTCGGCGACTCTCGGTGTCATATCATGTGAATGGGGCTCTGCTCAGCGAACGAGGCGAGCACCGGAAATATGAGGGAGCTGACTTGACTAGCAATGTCGGCGCGAGAAGGGGAGATTGCAATTCATTGATGAACGCGTAGTAAATTAGCTGCCAGCAGAACAATATTCTGACTGTTGCTACAGCCTGTCCTTCACCTCAATATCTTCACCTTGGAAGAACCTGCGTATTCCCGTCGACGCAGGCTCTGCCGAAGATCTTCGCGCCAAGAGATGCGACCAGAAGACCAATGGAAGCAAAAACTGGATCCTTGGAACAAAAATATGGATCAGAGTGGTTCCATTATCCATCTCACAGGGTCCAAAGTGCGTCATCAATGCCGAAGGCGCCGGTAGTAGAAAGGCCCAGAGGGACAAGGGAGAAAAAAATTGTCAATGTCACCCCACGTACGTTTGTTCCCACCGTTTTCTGAACGGAGATGAATCTGGATTAAGGGCCACTAGGGGACCTCCGCTAGACCAATCAGCCCACGGACGGGGTGTGCGTTTGTGATTGTCGATGAAAGCGTGGTGAGATGCCCGGCACAGGAATGCTTACCTCACACAGTTCGAGCCTCTTTCCATGACGTGACTCTACGGGCCTTCTATTCACAGTTGCTCCGCTTCTCTCCAAGTCTTGGTCCCTCGAGTCCACAAACCTTAGCTCACCTCACCCACGTCAGTCTCCGCAAGTCGTTTCCCTGAGCCCCCCGGGGTTTGAGTTTTCGCTCAAAGCATGACCATCAGAGGTCATGAGATGGACCCATTGGCATGGTCTTGGTCTCTCGGTGCCCGCGATGCTCCTCGACGATCATCCCCACAATAAAGACAGTCAAAATGGCACCTCTTCGCTGCTTCAATCTCTCTTCTGGCTCATCACAGCATTCGTGTACAACACTTTCACAACATCAATCACACACTTACAACATTCAATTGACCAATTGGTCTAACAACTACTTTCAATATGAAGTTCTTTGGTAGTAAACGCCATGAACATGCTGGCGAAGGTCAGCATCTCGAGAGGAAGCCTTCTCCCGATACCGATGGTCGCATCACCTTCCGGGCCTGCTTCATGGGCCTGGTCGCATCGGTAAGTTCCCAACACGACAACAAGCCATCGCAATGGAATTAAACTAACTAAAGTAGATGGGTGGGATGATATTTGGCTACTCTTCAGGTCAAGTTTCTGGTTATTTCATGATGAAGGATTACGGCGAGCGATTCGGTGTTCCCAACGGCGACGGTACGTACGAGTTCAGCGCCGCACGACAAGGAACTATCACCGGTCTTCTCTCCATTGGCTGCTTGTTTGGATCTCTCGTTGCCGGCAACCTTTGCGATACAATTGGTCGCCGTAAGACCATCTCCATCTCTGCTCTCTGGACCTGCGTCGGCACTATCATTGAGGTCGCCTCTCAACACGCCTGGTACCAACACGCCATCGGTCGACTTGTAACAGGCCTTGGTGTCGGTGCTCTGTCTGTCGCTGTCCCCATGTACCAGAGTGAGAGTGCCCCCGCCATCATTCGAGGTCTCATTGTCTCTTGCTATCAGCTCTTTGTCACTCTCGGTATCTGGTGCGCCGAGATGGTCAACTGGGGTACCAACCACTATGATGGTAGCGCTTCCTGGAGAATTCCCAATGCCCTGAACTTCCTCTGGGCTCTCCTTCTCGGTGTTGGCATCCTTCTCCTTCCCGAGTCTCCTCGATTCGCCTACCGAAAGGGTAAGGTTGAGGAAGCCCGAAAGACCATCGCCAACCTTGCTGGCCTCGACATCAACTCCCCCAGTGTTAACCGACAGATCGACGACATCCGAGAGAAGCTCGAGGAGGAACAGGCTCTTCCCGAGACCCGCCTTGTCGAGATCTTCACTGGTCCCCGTATGGCCTACCGCACCATCCTCGGTATCACCCTCCAGGCTGGTCAGCAGCTCACTGGTATCAACTTCTTCTTCGTAAGTCAACTCAATGGGACCAAATCGCAACAATCAACTAACAATCACAGTACTTCGGAACCACTGTCTTCGCCTCCACTGGTCTCAAGGACAGCTACGTCACTCAGCTCATTCTCGGCTCCGTCAACTGCGCTTGCACATTTGGCGGTCTCTATGTCGTCCAGAAGTGCGGTCGCAGAAAGTCCCTGATGATCGGCGCCGCCTGGATGATGATGTGCTTCTTCATCTACGCCTTCGTCGGACACTTCGCTCTTGACCGACAGGACCCTCTCTCCACTCCCGCTGCCGGTGCCGTCCTTGTCACCTTCTCTTGCTTGGCTATTGCTGCCTTTGCTACCACCTGGGGTCCTCTTGTCTGGGCTGTCGTCGCCGAGATGTACCCTTCTCAGTACCGCAGTCGATGCATGGCCATCGCCACTGCTACCAACTGGCTCTTTAACTTCCTCATCGGTTTCTTGTAAGTTCCCTCACCATTACACTTCCCATTGAGCATTCACTGACAATTCCCAGCACTCGATTCATCACTGATGCCATTGACTACTTCTACGGTCTCGTTTACGCCGGATGTTGTGCTGCCCTCGTCGCCATTGTCTTCTTCTTCGTCATCGAGTCTAAGGACCGAACTCTCGAGGAGATCGACACCATGTACGTCCAGCACGTCAACCCCATCACTTCTTCCAAGTGGGTTGGCGAGCCCCACGGCCCCAAGCACGCCCGCGTGGGTGTAACCGACGAAGAGGCTTCTTCGTAAACAATCGTCACCAACAAACATCTCATCACAACACGCACGACTCACAACTCACATCATTCACGTACACACATCACTATAGAAGTTACGGATATGGACACACTATAGACATGCAGCCGGACTGCCCGGCGAGTAACGATTGGAACGGACGTTGCATTTTAAAATTGTTTTCGCGCAAGGGTGCGAGGAAGTACATAACCCAAAAGAGCATATTATATCCTTGTATTTAGTAGCATATTCTGCATAATATCATTTTCGCTACGTTCTCAAACATTGATCAGATAACCTTTGTGACACGTTCTTTACTGCTCAGCCTTCACTGCGTTATTCTCCAGTACGAGTGAATTGACCATAAATACTCAGATTGTGGCTGGCTGAATCGATCGGTGCAGCCAAACAGACGGAGAACACGAACGAAGCTTGCCTGGTGTAGGTTAGCGGGGGCGTTTGGGCTCCCTCTTTTGGCCAGCTGATGACTGTCTTGGGTCTAGATCTCGCCAAGCTGAGATGTGAATCGCCAAAGACATACACTATTTGATGTAGAGCATTCTTTGTGCATGAAACTATTTAAAAAGGCCCAGCTGGAACTCCGTGGCATAAAAGCAGCGCACAATTGGTCGAATGCTTGCTCGGATACATAAAGAGACCACTTCCAGAAAGTGAAACTCTTCTTTATCTTACCGTATTCCTCTGTTGAACTCGAACCGTGAATCTTGTCGCAACATCACGACTTCACTGCCCGCTCTTCAATACACTGAACATGGCTTTTTCGGGGCCCAGTCGCGCCGCTGCATGGACGCTCTCACTTCCTACATCCACTCAACCCGTTGAATCCGCCCGTCTTCCAGACGATGGAAGCAGAGGGGGCTCAGAGTCCATCATCGGAGAAGACCTGCGCCAATTGGTTGCCCCCTATGATTTTCAAGACGGCGGAAAATACCGTTGTACGTTGCTACTGAAGAGAAGAGATTGAAGAAAGACTGATTGAGGATTTGCAGCCATCGTGAAGATTCAGTCTCGATTCCAGGACCAAGGGCATCAGACATGGATGATGGGAAGCGGATGGCTCATTCGTCCCGACCTCCTCGTCACCGCCGGTCACGTCGTCTATGACTGGGGACGCAATCTTGGTGCAGCTGATCAGATCAAGTGCTACATTGGCTACAATGGCAAACAGTCTGTCAGGTCACCTCAGGTCCAGACGCGATTCGGCGCCAAGGTTGTGACTCCCGTTGAATGGATCGAGGGTTCGAACAACCGTACAAAGGATGTTGCTTTCATTCGACTTGACAGGCCTTTCACGGGAGACTTACGACTCTTCAGCTACGTCAATACCCCAGAAAAAGGCAATGGCACATACCTGGGTGTCGTCGGATATCCGGGTGATCGAACCTTGGAGGATGAACAAGGAGCTCAGATGTACGAGGAGTTTGCCAGGAGTGACTATAACATTGGAGAGAGTCCTCGCCGTATGGTCGAATATTCGATTTCAACCTTCTCAGGTGCGGTTGATCCCCAGCTGGCATCTCTCGAACTAATGCTGACAGTTTATTAGGACAATCTGGTGCCCCAGTCTTACGCAAATCCGACGGGCGACTCAATGCAATTGGAACTCATAGCTATGGCGGCGGTGGCTTTGAAAATAACTCAGGCACTGCGATTGGAAATGATTATGGTAATAATTACAACGATTTGATCAGTTTGTTTGACAATAGGACGACTTTCGGCGATGTTGGCAATGTCAAAGTCGTCCAAGTTCAAACTCAAGACCGAGAAGTGAGTACCTATGGCTTCATTTGTGACGTCTCTAATTCCTGCCAGACAAGCATCAATGAGCCTCACGGTCCCACTAGAGGCCGCCCCGGGATCGCGGTTGAGACTCCGAGTTTCGAGGAAGAAAGCTTCTTCGACACCTTGAAAAGTGTAGCCAATGTGGGAAGAAATGGCTTCAACTTTCCTTCTACCTTCCTCGGTCCCATCGGTGCCCCTCTTAGTGCAGTAGTCGGAACTCTACTCGGGTCACTCACAGAGAGCACGCTTTCTCAGGGTAGCGAAACCGTTGTAAATGGTCCCGCCGAACGTGCGGTGCTCGCTGAAGCTGCTTTGCAAGCTATCCTTGCGTCAGACCACGATGAGCATATGATGGAGGTCATCAACAAGATGGGTCACTTTTGGAAAAGTGGTGCACCAAAGGCTCAAATTCTCGCTCCTGCTATCACTCCCATCTTAGGACAATGCAGCGTGGAACTTTCAGGCCAAGTTGCTCCAGAGACCAACGACACCAAGATACCATCTTTCCGTGATCGTCGTCGCTTGGAAGCCGACATCACAGAGAGTGCTGCAATGAGCGACGGAGCTGCCTTTATCCAAGGTATACTGGGTCCAACTCGGCAACTTGAGGGAGGAAAAGACGTTTCCGAATGGCTTGGCCCCGTGCTCGTTACTGCGGTCTCTGAGTCCAAGCCTCTTACGTCTAAGCTCACCTCTACTACTCTCTCACGCATGGAGTCCATCGAGGCACCCACCTCTAGCGCAAACGAGGATGCGACCAGGATCTTGATCAAACGTGCTATCTTAGCAGACGCGGCTCTTCAAGCCGTAATGTCCCTACCCCGCGAAAGGCTAGTCGGGTTCAGGCCCACCAACGGACGTGGCGACGACGCAAGCATCTTTGATTTCATGAAAGATAAAGTTCAGATATTTGGACCCAATGCACTCGACATTGCAAAGAAGGCGGCTATCAAGTTTGGGCCTCGTCTCACCAGCGATGCCAGTTCGGATCCTCCAGGTCCTGACACTCAAGTTCCCCGTCTTGGGCAGCGGCCGAAGAAGCCGTCATTGATGGACTATCTCAACCAAAGCGCGACCCGTTTGGACCCGTTTTGAGTAAGGTTTGGGCCGCTGCAGATGGACTGACTGACTTTGCTGATCTGACTCGATCGTCAGGCGGTTCACGTGAGTCCGACTGGTCAATGGGATGTGATGCGGGGCAGTAGGAGCAGTCACATGCCCTCGGCAGGATATACACTATAACCGGAACCTAAATTCTAATACACGATGATCTGAAGCCGTTATGAGCGTCAACCGAGGTATTGATGTCATTCCTGAAGAGTAACTTTTGTCAACTCGGATAATTATTGGCTAGTTGACGCACCCATCCTTCCAGGGCTGACGATCCCTGAACCTTTTTTAACTGGGGAGCCAATTCAGCTAGGAAGACCTGAGTAGCGTAGCAAACTTGACAACGTGACTATGATTCATGACGCTGGCTTGAGATCTCAAGATCTTTGTCCAATAAAACTCAATTCACGGAACCACCCGAAGAGATCTACATCGGAGACATTATCTAGTGAAGCTTAAATCTCCTGACAACGTGGGCCAAGGTTGAGATATTCGCACTGGTTGGATGGTAACGAAACAGGTAACTCCGCTTTTGGGATTAGTGCTTACTCTGACATCGTACCACCTTTGAGCTCCGCACTCGCAGAATAAACGGTTCCGAAGAAAGAAAGCCCGTGAGAGGATTGCGGAGCTATGGAATTGCTCAATTAGGATACCGCTATCCTCCAAAGAAAAAGTCCCGTTATGAAAACGGTTCTCAGTTGGTTGGGTGCTGGCTTTTGATCCTAGCTGAAATCCAAAAGCATACTGACTAATAATCCTTCAGTCCAGAGGACTTTGAATCAACCAGGTGCTCACGGAAAACCTTTGCCCTTGATCATTCTCACGAGAACTGATATTCATGTGCGCAGGTGTTGGTTTTCAACCTCCTTCGACCAACACGACATGAAATGATCTGATGTTGAATGTCGAGTGTCGTCATTTTCAACCTGCGAGAAGTAGGCAAGGCAATGATCCGCAATGACCCCTGAAAAGACCTGAGTCTAGAATGAAGGATCTATCACATGTTGGTCAAAGAATAAGCGCTATTACGACAACCCATCCAACAGATAGTTATCGTATAAATGCAGCTAAATGCAGCACGAAGGCAAAATGCTACGCCAAGAACTGACAAACAACCTATTGCCTTTCCGTTTATCACCATCATGACTGAACACACTGACGAGAATGACAACAAGAGAACTGAGTGCACCTTTCCACCTGGAAGCAGGCGCGTGGAGTATGAAGACCTGGATCCCGCCCAGAAAAAACTCGAAGACATCTTGGCCACCATGAAGCATGACCCCACGGGCATGGGCATAAGCCATCTCGGCCGAGACGGAATCTATCGATCCCTCACTGCTGATCGCGATGTTGTCGATGCCGTTCCTTTCCCGCCACCTCTCGTCAAAGCAATGCTTGATCGCTTCCCATACAGCGAGGAGGCTGTCAAGGTATACCGCGGGCTTGATGGGACAAAGACGCCGAAAGAGCAGTGCTACAAGCCTTTGCCAGGAACCTTGCCTCCTCCGCTTGAGGAAAAGCATCGCGAGAGGGCGAAAAAGGGGGAGGAAGACTATAGAAAATGGTATGAGGAGAGGATGAAAAATATTGATGCGGGCATTTTTGAGAGGAGAGCTGTTTGTTTGATGTCGGACCATGACCTTGGCCCAGAGGCAATGGCCACAAAATAAGGGAGATATCGGAAATTGGTGGACCGATGTAGTAAGAGAGCTAGGCTCTGCGTGGTGATTAAAATCTCGCAGCCATATCAACTCTGGGTCATTCATCTAAGAAGCACACTTGAGACAGACCAATCACTCAAATCGCTCTGGGGAAGTTTATGATGGGCTTCGGATGGACGATAGGTCGACGACAAGTCTCTGGTTCATGTCTTTGGCGGTATTCTGCTGTACCAGGGGTCGGTACGCGCAGACCTTCTTCTGAAGGATGCGTAAAGGGCCATGGGTCTCTTATACCCCTTAAGAAATTATGATCCGTTGTTGTCCACGGTCGCTTGGTCTCCTTCCGGATACCCAACTTCTCGCCTTCGTATGAGGTGTTGGTAGTTTGCTCGTTTGTGAAGCCTGGCATACACTGACCTTCCCTGGCTCGATGGACAGTTTTGAGGATGATGCTTTGGCTAGCAGGTGACGATTATTTGACGCCTCTGTCTAACCCGCCAAAGAGCGGTCGATCAACTGTCGGACGTCTGAAACTGTCCCTCGCATGCTCAAGAAAGCGTCCTTCTTCGACAGGCGGATAGAGAAAGGTTCCGGAGTCCAGACCTCAAAAGACATTGAGATGGACCAAGATTCAAGTAGGCCATGGGGTTATCAACGTCTGTTAGGCCCCTCTCGGACTGGTTGTACCTGTCTCGCGGTACATATAAGGGGGATTGATGCGGAGATGTGGATGAGAGCTCAGGACTTGGTGTTTGTTGACCAGTGATATAAAAAAAAAAAGAGATTCGCGGTTGCAAATCGGAAAGCAGGGAGATCTATTTGGCCAGAAGTGTGATTTTGTGAGTGTTGTTTTGCGTTGATAGTCCGGACAGCTGATGCTTGCATCGCGAGGCTTGTCTCGTGCGGACGTGATGGCAGAGAGGTCGGCGATCCCTTTACCGAGTAGCAGCAAAGAAATGAACGCTGATTGTAAGGCATTTGGCTGCTGCACACAGTGAGTCAAACCAGAAAGCGACAGATAAATGTATTGCCTAAAGAGATTTGAAGTTTCATTTTTCGTGCACTGGATGGATTGAGATGAAGTCGATTGCTTTGTCCGTTGCGCGATTGCGATGCAATCTCTCGTTTGTTTGGTGACTTTAGTGGGCCCTGCGTGCTACAAGCAAATGCTGCACTGCACTGCACTGCACTGCACAGGCGCTGCGTATTCTCTCTTCATCATCAGCCTTGAAAATGCACCTCACTCCAACTCTCTTTGTAAACACGCGCTGACGAGACGGAAGCACAGAGTCGCGTCTTGGGGTTACACTGAACCGCCTAATGCGCCCCAGTAGCGAGCGCATCGCTGCTGACCCCGCCAATTTTGATCCCATCAACATCCGCACTGAGCTGAACTCCAAAGAAACCAAGGCTGTGCACCATTTCACTGCAGGCCGCAGCCGCTGTCCATAATGGCAACAACAAATTCAGCAACAGTCACAGAAGACTGCGCTGTATTGTCAGTCATCGATTTACTCCGTGTTGTGTTTAGTCGCTGACCTCGCGCTAGTTTTGGCCATCATGGCCCGCTCATCGCCAGCGGTGACAGAATTGGCCTTCGCACCAAGATAAAGGCTCAGCTCCGCTCGGTACAAGCGTGGGATTGCGACACATGGATTGGCCTCGCACTCGACTTTCCCTTGGGAAAAGGCCAGGAGGCGAACGAGGAGGCCGGCTTTGGCGTGCGGTATCGAGGTGAGTATCATTTCAGGGCTGCCGCAGCGGAGCTAACTCACATTTCACCAAGCCCCAGAACATGGCTCGCAAGACAGGTCAAAGCTTTGCGATTACCAAGAGATCCGAATCAAGTTTCCTCGTAACTTCTCCTACGAAGTCCAGCAGGGACAGTTGCCGAGTACGTTCACGAACGAGCACCTCAGCTATGTAAAGATTTATTTTGGTGAGGCTCGGGCTACAATCGAAGGCTTTGGTGTCCCATTCGCGAACCAAGAAGATCACCAGGTTGAAAGCTGGATCAACGGAAACGCCCCCATCGTATGGAAGTACCATCTTCTGGACATTCTCCAGCAGCAAACTCTATACCTGGTCTTACCCGCAAAAAGCAGTCTTGTCAAGATCCTCGGTACTGCTCAAAACTCATCGCCTTTCCGATACCCTTACAGCGAAGACTTTTCTTGGGATCTTACTCGGTTTGAGAAAGAGCTCCGAGAAAACAAGGGCCAACAGTTCTCGCCACTTTTCAGGTGAAAGAAGCCATCCTGATGATTGCGAACCATATTGACGTAATCAAGTCACCCCACTGATGTTTCGCACATGACAGCTGTCAGCCAGTCTATTGTACAGGATGTAGTGTGGCTACGCCAGGCAACGGAGCGGTTGGGGTATACGTATTCGAAGTCCCTGGGATATACAAATCCGAGGTTCGTTGACCGGCTTCATATCCCCTCAAGGAATCCCGCGCGTATCCCAGCCTACTTCTTTTGGTGTAAGGCGCCGGATACTGATACTGACGGCAAGGAATGCCTTCACCTTGCAATCCCATTTTCTGAGCCACTCGTGAAGGCAATTGGCCCGGCTTCGAAGCTCCTCATTCAACAGAGAATCTTCAAGCTGCGAATTTTTAACTCGCGCGAAAGTCAGAAATACGCCGAGGTAGAATGGTAAGTTTCAGGTACTCCAAGTGCAGAGCAGTTGCTGACACTCATAGGTTCTGCCGCCTTGCGCCCTTGGGAAAGCTGGATCGATATGCCCGACATAGAAAAAGCACTACTGATCTGATCTTGGTGGTTAGGCCAAAAATAAACATGTACGACTTCCGTGATGTGTTACGAGGCGCAGATCATCCCCGCAAGAAGCGCGGCCATATCATCCGCCGCCGCCACCCTTTTCTTGACAAGCTCAAAACGTTTGACGACCGCCAAAGTGCCAACGAAGCGCTATTGCTTGACGGAGAAAGTTGGAACTACGTTTCTCTAGGATTCCACTATGAAATCAATCAACGGCAGCGCCAGGTTGAGGCTGCCCTCTCGTTTCATCCTCAGGCGCTCCCATCCAACCCGATTGCATGTAGGGTGGCAACAAAGGTTTCTTACCATGGTTATGAAACAGATGACTTGCTAGATGACATGAACGAAGAGCAGCAGCAGCTATTTGATAAAGTCAAAGACAGAATGGATCTACATCGATCTGTTTTACGCGGCACCGGATTCTATGACTGGATGACGAAGACTGATGGCAACAGCAAATGCAGGCCACTCCCAACGATTAACTTTCTCGATATTGATGATGAAACTTACGTCAATGCCATCCTCGAAATGGTCCTACCCAAAGATCGCGCGCGTTTCAGATCTTACCTGAGCAACAGACCACTGGGCATTGGCATCATCACAGGTGTAAGTAATCTCAACCGATACCGTGATTAGCACTGACTTAATGGCGTTAGACTCCAGGATCCGGAAAGACATCATTGGGCGCTACTGCAACATTGGCTTTACAGACAAAGGTCGACCAAATTCTCTGCTCAGCGCCTACCAGTACGGCCGTAGACAACTTCGCATATCATCTCGATATGCAAACTCGGGATATCACAGAAAAGTTGAACGCAGGAAAGTCTCTGGATGACCCAACCCGGTATCGTCGCAAGTTGACCATTCGATTGTACTCACTCGACGAAGAGGTCAATGCCTTTTACACGCTTATTGCGAAGCCTGAACTCGGCAAAGAAGTTTTAGATGACTGGAAACTCCCAGGAGAGCCCAATACGGATGTCAATTGGAAGTTCCATTTGTCTGCTGCCTACTGGCTTTTGCTTCTCTTCAGATCGCCCGCTGTTGATCGGAGTCTTGGACCCGATGATAGCTTGGCTTTGCATAAGATGCAGAAAACCATCGATGAAGATGAACAGCTCGAACCAATACGAGGCGGCTTCCCGGAAGTTATCACGGAACATCTAGACGATCATTTCTCTGGTCTCCTGGAGATGTTACTTGAAGAAGCGGACATGCTTTGCTTTACACCAAGTGCTCTAGGAATATCATATGGATCAGAAATACCTGCAAAATGGAAGAGGAGGGTGGCACAAGGAGTTGTAATTGATCAAGCAGGAACAATGGACAGACCTGATCTGTACCGTGTCTGGGGAAACACGTTACTTCCATGCTTCCTTATTGGAGACACAAGATCGGAGCCGCTAACAATTCAGACTCCTAGTGAGACAGAACTAGGCTCTGAGAACTATTACAATCGTTTTGCGGGGGACGGCCAGCTCTCTGGTCTAGAGTTCCTTCAAGCATCTGGCCTTCCGGTCTTTCGTCTCGATACACAAGTTCGTATGGCCAAGGGCATGTACGACTTGGCTGCCCAAGTATTTTACCCCCAGCTCCCGCTTCAGTACCACCAGCCCGACCACAACATTGCCGATCAGCAACCAGATGTCGGACGAGAGCTCGAAGCCTTTGTGCGAATGAAGTATCCAAAGATACGCAAACCGCCAGGCGGCATTCTGCACCAGCCATTGTTCATTCATCGACAGAACTCAACGATTTACAAGGATGTCGACGGCTCACAGGCCTGCCAAGAACAGGACAGTGCCATCTTGAGTTTTGTTGCTGGGCTAGTCACCCACTCAGTCATTGATCCCGAACAGATCGTCATTCTGACACCTTGGTTTGCCAATACTGTACTCATCGAACGCAAGCGCAACCAAAAGAGGTTCGAACTTTTGAAGAATATGCCGGAAGCCGCCACCATCGAAAGCTATCGTGGAAGAGAGTCCGATATCGTTGTCGTGGTGATGTCCACCACGCGTGACACAGGGCCCGACATTACTGCGAACGAGCACTTGCTCATCACCATGCTCACCCTCCACAAGAGCGGATTGGTTATTTTTGGGGACATTTGTACGAGTGGAGTGATCGGAGAAGATCCCACTGGGAAGCTCTTCAAGATCAACAAGCCTGGGCAAGAGCTCAATGCGTTGCAGAGGATTGATGAGACACTCTTTGATGAGGGGCGAGTCGTGGTATTCTCTACCAAGCTGGGGAAGTCATGACCGGAGCTGAGGTATCATACGGCTGCTTATACTGAGTGAATGGGTAATGGAGCTTCTGGTGTTGTCAGATAGGCGAATTGTTCCTTATGACTTGGAAGGATGTCAATAGAAGGATATCCCTCCGGGCCGAGTAGTCCGAGCTCGTACCAAATATACCTGAAATTCCCTTACCATGTAGAGTTACATTTCGGAGCAGCATTTGTGCTTGTGATTGTACTACGTCCTACTGACACACCTTTCAGCTTTATACTTGTCATTCTTTGGTTGACATCTAATTCACCTGACCATGACCACCTTTCGGCATAATGCACACTGAGCTATTAGGCAACTAAAAACCTCCAAATCTTCTCTACGTCATTGTGTTTCGAGAGCCGAGGGTTTCGCTTGAACGAATCTAGTGTTTGGTGTACAAACTACAAGCTCGCGTGAGCCTTTCGGCCCTACTTCCATTGGTGTTTCGTCCAACAACACTAGGGCTAGCTGCAGAAGAGTTCTGGAATGAGGTTTCAATTGATGTTATGCTTCTCCTGAACATCATGTCCTTGAAACTCGGCTGTTTCAAGTATCCGAACAATCTTGTTTCCTTCTCAGCACGACAACGGACAGCGTCAGGAAGATCAAGCAGCAGAATGTTGAGCAACAGATGAGAGCGGCTAGAGCCCCCTGTTTGCTGCCCCCCCGGGATACTTCAATTAAGGCAATAATTCCTATCGCATTGCAGAGTACCAATTGAACTTTGTCATGGGGGCGACATAACATCGCAACACAGCAGTATTTGAGAGGGGGTACTGCCGCCTACAAATGTATTATTATCGATTACACATATATTAGCCCTCTAGTTTTAGCAGCCAGGTATCGCTAGAAACCCATTTTTAGTTGCACAATCAAGTGTCTGCTGATTTAAGCTCTTAGCCATGAGCCTCAACTGCAAATAACACAAGCAACTGTATGCTTGACTACTTCATCCGGTTTCGCAACGTTATCTGCATTCGCATATCACTCAGTGGAACTTTGGAAAAGTCTCCTTCCTCGGCCACTTGGCACGCACTTGTGCCTTTGGGAGGTTGTGCAAGATGCAGTGTGCTGGATTGCTTCTGCGTGCCACACAAGCACGAATTTCCATTTTAGGATGCTTATCCATATGCCTTACTGACCGTAGAGTTCCGGTTATAAAAGCGCAATTTGGTTATTCTAATATTAGTATTAAAATCATCAGGTCTTGTTCGACAGCAGTATATTCCTACCAGTCTAGCCCTGATTTCAAACTCACATCACCGAGAGATCCCGGGTCCATACCATCTTGTCCAGAGACTTGTTGTTACCCCAGACAAGTTATCATTTCATGTCTCAACGCTACAGAAATGGGGCCACTAAGGTCCCCAACACTCTGGGATCAAGGCGAGCAATAACGGCACGTGGATATACTTTCGTCGAGGAAGGGGATATCATTATAATACAGGAGTCCCTTTCCCCAGCAGAAGTCAAGGCCTTGCTCATTGAGAGCCAGGAACCTCCTGAAGCGAAAAGTTCAACACAAAACTCCAGTCAGCATCTCGCTGAGAGGATTTTCATTGATGTTGAAGAGCAAGGGCCAGTCCCCGATTTCCTTGGACATGCGATGCCGATATCGAATGGTTTCAATGGAGACTACTTCGGCAGAGGTGGTGCTAAGGACTCACTCATGAGATCTTGGGTTAATCAAGTGTTGGTATCAGACGTCCATGGTTTGAACCTTCATGAAAAGCAAGCCCGTGTCATTTGCTCTACTCGAGCATCATCAGACTCGTATAGAGCTTGGTTTAACCCTACCTTATGGCTCGAAGGCCAAGCCACACGTTCGGATCTCTTTGATATCGGGTATGCTGAATATTACCAGGACTTTGCGAGGTCGCATAGCTTTACACTCAACTCTTTGGGCTATCGTGGCAGGCCGAAGCGCGATGTGAAATTCCGATGGGTGTATGTCTGTCCCGAGTCTTGATTATGCTCGCTTTTGGAACTGACTTCTCGCCTTTCAAGGCATCTAGAGAGTCTTTCGTCAAACTTTCAAATGCTTGAGGTGAGTCGCCAGCCTTGAGCTCTTTTCTGGTAAGATTCTATCATCTGACCCAAGTTATCTATCATTTCAGCATCTTGTCGCCGAGTGCCCTTTCATCTCCAAGCCTCTCAGATCAGTTGCCCTGAAGGTCCTTCTAGAAGCGAGCCAGCAATGCTCTAAACCAGATGCTTCAAAATCACAAATCGACACAGGGAATGTCATACGATATATAGGACGCCACCGAGTACATTCATTATCTAGGGATACTGATACCCGGGATACCCAGCCTGTGATATTTGTCTCAACGCCCTACCTGCTTATGGCACAAAAGCCACCAGCAGCCCCTGTTTCAGGAGAAACCCGGAAGAGAAACCTCATTGAATTCCTCTATGGTAGCGAATCTGGATCTTTTCAACAGCCATGGTTGGACCGCTCAACTGCGAATGGTTTTAAGTATAGCATTGCAGGCATGCTAGAAGTGCCCGAAGCCAGCTTCCTTTTGATAGGTTCCGGTATGTGTCTTGTTAATAAGCTGAAACACCGAATAACCAGCTAGCAGATATCTTGATAAGCATCTCACGGACATCCTGGGGGCAAATGGTATCAAGTAATATCACCGTAAACCGAGAAGACGAAATTAACACGTGCCGGAATTACACCATTCAGATAATAGATGAGACTAGAACTCGCCGCAGCGACCTAGTTATTGAGAAGGAATGCAGCCATGAGGTCTGTGTTAGCATGTCTCAATTGCTCCACGGATTTCTAACTTTAATTAGAGCTTTGTGCACAAGGCTTTTGGTCTCCCCCGTAACGACAGATTAAGTCTTGGTTCATACATATTGGTTGATGAACACGATCGCCTTGTCAACGATTCGGTTTGGCACAATTACCTCAAGTCGGGAGAAGTGGAGCGACACGTCTTCCGTTTGACGAAAACCCCTTCAGCGTTTCCAGCAGAACATATCAAGGGTTCATCCACAGGTTCTGTTGGTTTTAAGGAAACAAGCACAGATGTGTCCAATCATCAGGCAATAGCTCTAGAGCCATCTCATACTCGAATATATAAGAGCGAGCTGTTGCGCCCAAACGAACTCTCCTTCAGTATTTCGAACAATGAGATCGAAGTGGTAAGTCCGCCGATCCTCTGCGATCACGAATAGCATTTGATTAACCCAATGGCCCTCGTTCACCTAACAGCCTGTGGATACGCCTGACAAACTCGATAAAGATTCATCGAAATCTTGTCTACATTCAGAAATTGACACCATCGCTGTCTACTACAGGAGGATTCCCTTTGCGGTTCGATCGTATTGTTCATTTAATAATGCAGCCTCCGTTTCATCCGTTTCATCTATTTCATCCGTTTCATCTGATAATCTGAAAGAGACAGAGACAACTAAACGTTACCCTAATGTTTTCATATGTACACACCAACGTATCAACATGAGCAAACAGGACAACATCAGATCACATATTAGACTTACAACGCGGGTTTGAGTCGCTATCGAATAAGCCATCTCACTGGTTCCTAACCCATGGTAAGGATCAGGACACTGACAGTGGGTTAGTGAGCGATGGTTGCATGCTATCACATAAATTCATGGATAAAATACAACAGGCTATTCTCAAGAGCCCCTTCGAGGCACTTTTGATAAAGACAACACCTTATACCAGGGATTTCGTTTACGACAAATGCCAAATACTCTGCTCCATTACCGACAAAGAATTATCGCCACTAGCGATTGAACAGAGCGATAGGCGACATTACGAAATATACAGGCCCGGCGCGGTACTAGACATTCAGAATATTTTCAGACTGTCAGATGACCTCTTTTCCCTTTTCCTCCCGCTTTCAAGTAATGCGGCGGCACACACGGTATCCGAGAGGTATTGGGGCGCACTTGACTCAATCATACGCGTTCTGTCTCCCCAAAACTATATCACTGCCAGCTCAAGCTGACAGCCTTTGCAGCAGAAGCATCTCTCAGCCATATTGCCTCGAATATCTGGCCCGGAACTTCACTACGTTATCTCTTCGTTACTTCCCTTCGTTCATCGGGGAGGGCTGGACATGATGTTGAAGCATTTGCCCGCCAATGGATGCAGCGACTGTAACAATGGCACAGTATACTCATCTATTGAGGATGCAGTGTACCACTTACATGAGCGGCATGTCATATGTTATCAAGCCAAAAGAGTCACGACTGTCCTGGATGATCCTTGCTCGAGCTGGGTATGCTTAAAGCAGTGGGAACCCGAACCAGAGCCATATCCGTATGATCCTGACCATGACTTTTGTCTCAACCTGTTAAAAATACGAGATAAAGCTCAAGATGTGCATGCTTCAATGACGGGGGAAGAAACGAAAGTTGAGGTCAGCCTTATACATTGTTTCGAGTATATCATTTGCAAGTTCATTCTTGCAGCTGAAGAAGCCTCACTGGTAAACCAATCAAGGTTGCGCAACTTCAAAACAGGCATGCAGCATTCGGCAGATGAGGGATTATCAGCTATCCATGCTAAGATGATTGAAATTAACCAAAAGATACACGAACAGCTGGACCTTGCAACACGCGACATCATGGTGTCGGGAACAAGTAGAGGCGACAATGATCAGCTGATAGTATCTGACATAGGTCCCGAGTTCCTACTGGCAAACCTCATCAGCAATTTGCAGAATCATACTGCAATGGATCAGACAGGTCAATCGCTAGATATTATTCAGCATTATCGTCGAGTATCATCCGGCCTTCAGTACATTGCTGTGCGAGACCCAAGAAGACGACGGTTCTTGGAAATCTCAGCTCTTGAAGAAGAAACTGACGCTTTGCGTGCAGTTATCGAGATACAGAGGCGAATGGCCAAAACACTCAAGAGGATCCTGAGCCCTGATTTCTTCCGGAATGGGACGACAGATGATGAATATCTCGAGAACCGACGCAAGAGGCACCTATTGGAAAGCGAGCACCTAGGAAGACAAACCCAGAAGCTATCTGAGAATATCAGGACTCTAGAGACATTACTGGGCATTGCCCAAGTAACGAAATACAAGATGAAGCAAGTACTAGAGGTACTTGACGAAGGGCATGGAAAAGCCATTCGTGTTTTCACTTTCGCGACGCTGTTCTTTCTTCCAATGTGAGTACAACAAACTTGGAGCTCTTACGAAGTTGATAAGGAAAACTCACAGCACGATAGGTCTTTCGTCACGAGTTTCTTTGGCATGAATACAACCGATGTCAGAGACATAGGATGGGACCAAAGGCTGTTTTGGTCGTCGGCGATTCCGTTGACTGTTGCAGTTATGTCTTTGGCTTTGGTCTATGGATACAAATGGGATACAGTCTTGGAGTTCCGTGATAAGGTGTTCAAATCACATGAGCCTTACCAGTTCCACTCGATCATTAATCAAGATGTCACCACTTTTACAGAGGAAAGAAATGGCCAGACTAGCATTCCTATCCGTCCTTCCGCATCACCAAAACGGTCGAGGCTATGGGTGAGTGGCGTTGAGAGGCTCAGGGTTGGACTCTGGAGAAAGCGGGAAGCAGGTGGAAGACAGACAACCAACGAGTCTCAGGTGTAACAGTATACAACGGTTTAGCTAGGCAGAAATAAAGATGGACACAAGTCAATGCCAAATAGAAGTAATGAAGGTCGGACAGTATGACTTGATTTGAAGCCCTGACATGGGGACTCTGGTTGATGATCAAAGCTCGTGTAGTTCACTGATTAGAATCCCAAGGCTACACTAAAAAGTCGGATTGGGTTCTCTCGATAACAATTGAACGTAATGACACGTTCGGGGGGGCCGACAGGGCGTAGATGATCGTGTCGACGACGTTTTTGTTCGTTATGCCCTCATCAAAATCACGCTGCTTCTGCCATTCGACACTGGTAGGCGATACATCCTCAATCAGTCCGGGATAAACTGAAGTGACGCGTACCGATGTGCCTTTCAGTTCCTCCACTAAGCCCTGAGTGAAGCCATCTTGAGCAGCCTTTGCAGCTCTGAAGGGGAGTGAAGCGCCTGTAAGCCGCGCGTACTGAAGGCCAGACATTGATACAACATTGTGAATGTCTGCCCGAGGTCGTTGTTTCAATAATGGCAGAAGCTGGCGTGTCAAGATCATGGTGCCAGTGACAGCTGAGTTCACGACCGACAGGATCTGATCATCGGTTTGCTTGTCGAAGCTGCCTTCAGTGAAATGGGCTCCATTATTGACCAAGATATCGATATCAGGATGTGATTCAGCTATTTCCTTCGTCGCTATAGCCACGGAAGCCGGGTCTGAAAGATCGCAGATAATAGGGTACGCTGTTGCACCACTGTCGCTCTTGATTGTCTCGCTGACTTCTTGAAGCGCGCTTTGGGATCTTCCCAACAATATCGGAGTGGCTCCCTGAGAAGCAGCGACGATAGCTAAGGCACGACCAAGGCCGCGACCTGCGCCTGAAATCACTATTTTTCGACCCTTCATGTTTGTGAGTCTCGAATCTTGGGCGGCGTTGGTTGTCACGAGAGGTACTCCTAAGGAGAGATAATTGAAGTGAAGGACGAGGATAATAAGACTCACGCAGCTTACAAATCAGTGGTAAAAGTATTGATAGTCCAAGAAGTAAATGCATGATCGTGACGAAGTTGAAGCTTGATCCGATGACAAATCAATGTGTTCCGCTATCGGCTCCGCTAAGGTACCGTATGTTTCGGGGCCGCTGAGGCCTTGGCCTTGTGTATACGATCGAGTCATATGATAGCGATTTACTATTGACAATTTACGTGGAAATATATCCCAAGATGCAGGTAGATGGGGCTAAATTTCAGATGGTGTTTATGTTTTTACTCACTGGATTATCCCCTCAAGCTGGCTAAGAATCGTCAAATGGGCTGCCCATTCTGACATCTTATTGACGGACCCTATCTTGAAACCATGTCTTGGGTTGGTGCTCTAGCAGCCCGTAGATTACTATAAGCTATGGCAGCCAAATATCTTTCTCAATATCTCGGGTTTTTCGAGTGATAGCATGTCCTCAAGCAGTGATAACTCTTGTTGGCGAGTGAGCATTTTAAGTGGGACTGAGTCAATTTCGCGGTGTGAATAACGAAAACAAACCCGTCAGATCAAGAAACAATTCGTGACTCTTCTCAATTCGCATCATCCGTCGCTTCTTTACCAGATAAAATATGAATGGAGTTATGAGCACCAGTCGCCTCTGCGCGCGCCGTACGGTCTCCTTCGCGATCTCGCAATCGCGTCACGCCACCGCGATCAACGTCCCCTCAATCAGTATCAGCCTCCAAAAACACCGGACCAGCAGCCAATGCTGTAGCAAAAAGAACGCCTCCCAACCATCGACTCCGCCATCTATAACATCGCGCGAATTTTGGACCTTAAAGTCAGCTTGGAAGAGAGCTTCTGTCAACACTACGCGATGCCTCATCGGGTGTACAGTCGGTGACTTTGCAGCCATGTGGTTTCTCCAAGCCTATTATCCCGGGCTCAGTATGGGAATAGTGATGCCAATCTCTAGTTAGTGACCAATCAACTCTAGTCGAACAGAAAGCTAATAAAGCAGTGGCCTCTGGTGTTTCAACGTCCATTCTTCTGGAGACGGTAATGCTACGCATCGGCCGTGACGGATTGACTTGGCTTACGGCGATGAGGACAGCTGTCGGCATGAGCCTCATCTCCATGCTAACCATGGAAGCAGCTGAAAATGCGGTGGATTACTATTTGACGGGAGGACAAGTTGCTCTTGACGATCCATCATTCTGGCTTGCTGCTCTGGTGTCAATTGCAGCGGGTTTTCTGGCGCCTTTACCATACAATTACGCGAGGTTGCGCAAGTACGGAAAAGCCTGTCACTGAAAAGCTCACGAAAAAGGACCTTGCATCTGGCTTTGAGCATGTATTATCATGAGTATCGCTTCTTGAATTGTAGAATTACATTAGGTGGAATCTCTATTCTTGTGTATCACAATTAGTAGCGTAGGCTTTGTTGAGTCACTCACTGGCTTAGCATCTCCGGTAATCATTTTCCGCCCTCGCCAGGCCGGGTCGTGATGCCGTGACCGGTGTTTGCCAAGCTTTGCTTTGACAGAGAAAGAGATAACAGGCATTTCATCATCGTTCAATTGGTGTAGGGATTTGACTGGTGAGAAGACTGGCTGCTCCAGACTGATGCCGGCTGGTGAATCGACTTCTCACAAGGCACAACGATTGAGTGCTGACATCGTGGAGCGGCCTCAACAAATAACTCCAGGCAATCATCTCTCAACCATCGGCTTCAGAAAACAAAACACCGCTTATAAATATCATCCAATCTACCCCAGTGCCCCGCCATTAACCTGCAGCCAAGAAGTCTCCAGATAAACAACCCCAAGAGATCTAGCCAAGCCTGGCGTTTTACCTCCTGGAGTCTCGACCTTTTTCTGGCACGTAGCGCGACACGTGAACCATCGGAGCTTCATCAGTCTCCGAACCATTTTGCGTGATAGCATTGCGATGAGAGCAACTGCCCGGCGCAAAAAGTAGACTCCGTGGAAGATGTTTGTCTCTTATCTCATCTCGAGTTAGATCTGTGACGGAGAGGTGCCGTTTTGTAGCGCCGATGAGATTTGTCCTCGGATGTTGGAAGTAATGGTGGTGTCATTGGGATGATGATCCAGGGCTGGATTAAGCATACTTTATGCGTAAAATAAACAATGACTCGTAGCGCGGATCTGCAAATTTGGGGTTCATGCACAACGAACAGTGATAATGGTAATGAGATTGAAGCAAGATTGATAACAGGTAAACACATCCACAGATCTAAACAATCACCGTTTTCTCGGGTCCAATGCGATTATCGACATGCAATAATCGCTATGACCATCTCTTCATTCTTGACTGGATCTAGAGTCGCATCGGTCATCCCATCAAATCTAATGGTTCCCCCCATTCTCACTCACCATCTCCACAACCATAACCCCATGCACCATCAAATGAGACACTACACAGTTGTCATTAGCGTCACTCTCCCCTCCCAAATTAACCTTGAAAGTAACCTTTTCCTTCCTCCGGCCTCTACTTCTGCCCCCGAAGGCCATTTACCCCAGGTTTACTACCACTTCCCCAGGTTTATTCCCCGCCCCCCACGAAGATCACCGTCCAGAGCCCATAAATATAGGGAGCCTGGACCTCTTACGAAAATTTTCTTCGTCACGCCAAACTCACCAACACAACGAGAACAACCACAATGGCTACCACTACTGACCAGAAGCGTGAGGCGCCCGAGTTTGCGCATGTCAATAGCATTCTCGAGGATGAGAAGCCTTCGCAGGTGGAGGAGCGAGATTGGACGGGTACTGTCAAGAAGACAGACCCTGAAGAGATCCGCCTTGTCAAGAAGCTTGATCTCTGGATCATGGTGAGTGATACCCACGCCAATGCTTGGCTTCCAAACTGACATTCGCAGCCTTGTCTTTGTGTCATGTACTTCCTCAACTACGTCGATCGAAATGCCATCGCTCAAGCACGACTGAATAACTTGGAGGAGGATCTCAACATGACTGGCACCGAATTCAACACGACTGTTTCGATGTATGTTGACGCGACTGTCAAGTTTTGGGAATACTTCTGACGATTTTAGTTTGTTTGTTGGTTATGTTCTCATGCAGGTTCCCAGCAACATGTTGATCACCAAGGTGAAGCCTGGTATGTACATGAGTGCTTGGATGCTGGTTTGGGCTGCTGTCTCTGCTTGCACGGCTCTTGTCAAGAACTATGGTGGCTTGGTTGCCTGCCGATTCTTCCTGGGTATCACCGAGGCTCCTTTCTACCCTGGTGCCACTTACATGCTCTCCATCTTCTACACCCGCAAAGGTCAGTTTCTCGCTCGTGAGAAGAATGCAAGATACTAACGTGAATCAGAGGTCGCTGCTCGTATTGCAGTGCTTTACTGCGCACAGATTCTGGCCACTGGCTTCTCGGGTCTCATTGCCGCTGGTATCTTTGCAGGCTTGGATGGAAAGGCCGGTCTTGCAGGATGGCGATGGCGAGTTACTCAGCCTCTATCTCAATAACATTCTAACAGTTGTAGGCTTTTTATCATTGAGGGTGCTGCCACTGCTCTTGTCGCCATCGTCGGATTCTTCATGCTTCCCAACACTCCCCTCACCACCCGCTGGCTCAACGAACGCGAGAAGCAGCTTGCTCACGAGCGCATGGAGAAGGACAAGGCCTATGACTCTGCGGAGGGCGGTTCATCCTGGGAGGGCTTGAAGCAGGCTTGCGCTGATAAGCGAACATGGCTTTTCTGCCTCATGCAGAACTTCCATCTGTCTGCATGCTCCTTCAACTCCTTCTTTCCCACGTGAGTGATCCCGACTTGCTTTGCATGGCCACAGCTAACAGTGTCGTAGTGTCATCAAGACTCTCGGCTTCAACACTACTATTACCCTCGTCATGACCTGCCCTCCCTTCATCTTCGCTGGTACGGCTGGTATCCTCTTCGGTTGGAACTCTGGACGCATGCATGAGCGTACCTGGCACATCACCGCTGGACTATCCATTGCCGTTGCTGGTTTCGTTCTTGCTGCCTGCACTCTCAACACCGCTGCTCGCTATGTCGCTTGCTTCATCTTCCCCATGGGTGCCTATGCTGTCAACTCTGTCATCATCGGGTGGGCATCCTCTACTCTATCACAGACCAAGGAGAAGAAGGCTGTTGTGTTGGCAATGACCAACGTCGGCGGACAGGTAAGATACCCAGCTGTCTTGTTTCTACACTCATACTGACTTTGGCATAGATCGGTTACATCTATGGTGCTTACCTCTGGCCCAAGAGTGACTCTCCTCGATATGGAATTGGTTTCGGTGCCTCTGCTGGCTTTGCTCTGTGCTCAATTGCCTGTGCTTGGGCCATTCGCGTCCTCTTGATCCGCGAGAACCGCCGCATCCGCGCATCCACCTCTGAGCAGGTCAACCTTTATGGATACTAAACTTGGAATGAGAAATGAATAATGTAGTCGATATACCTGGGGGGGTCTGAATAGATACTGTTTTGAATACTTGGCTCTTGTCACCGTGAATGTCGACCCACGTGGAGTGGATTGAGGGGAGTTTTTCAGCTTGCAACATGCATGAAGGCTCAGCCACTGACACTTTTTATTCGTTGCTATCATGCCAACACCTCCGAGAGATGTCTATTGGCTTAGGCAACATTACCTCATTATCTTGGCTGACTGGGTAGCCCAGCTTAGCCCCGCACGGTTGCCTAACTTGGGAAATGCGATAAATACGCAACTTGGCTCGAGATAAGCCCGCCTTACTCTTTCAATCCTTAGGCTTCTCTCCATCCATCGCCCAAGATGGCCAAATTACTTCGTCAAGATATCCTTGCCAAGACCCCAAATCCCCAGGATGAAAGCCCTCTCTACGCCAAGCTCCCAGGAGAAGTCAGAGACAACATCTTCTCTTATGTTCTCACGGATCATCCGGACCCAACACCAACCAAAAAGTTCAAGGAAAACACATGCTACACTCGCCCTTCGTATCTAGCAGCTCAATCAACCGATACCAGACTTCTTCGTACCTGTCGCGCTATCTACCGCGAAACTTGGTTCAAGCCATTTGTCCTGCGAGAGCACACAGAATGGGCTACAAGTGAAGACCGTGCTCCTCCACCTGGCAAGGCTCCTCCACGTCTGCGCCCCATGGTCGCAGAGATCTCCAAATCTTTAGGCACAGACAATGTCGAGATTGAGAGACTGAGAATCTTTGCTCAGATGTACAGACTCGAAGAAAACGGTCTGCAAGACATCCTACGGATGCCCCATCTGGCTCCCCGCACCATTACGCTCACCATTCGTCACACTGATTGGTGGTATTGGGAGGAGGATGAGCCCCTACACTTCGAGGGAAACTGGATCGAGGGAGTTTCTCAAGTGCTGACTCCCAGTACGACTCAATTCTGCATTGAGCTGGAGTCGCTCGAGCGTAAGAAGGATCAGGTCGACAAGATCGCCAAGCAGATGGTCGACGCATGGTTCTTCAAACGACCCGATGGCGTTGTTCTCTACGCTGATACATCAGATGCCAACCGCAAAGTAAGTCGCTGGAGTGGATCAAGCACTTGGCACGGTCAACGCTGGACTCGAGATGAAACGGAACCCAACAAACTCGACTACTACATCGTCTCCATCACGTTCCGTCCTCTGATCTCTATTGAGAGAAGTGGTGGCTCCGTAAGCGAACGTGCAATCAAGGAAGCACAAGACCCTCACGACTTGGGTCGTCCCAAACTCTTGCTTCCAGACAACCAAGAGAGAATAACGACCGAATACCCTTGTGAGTTGATCAGTGATTCAGATGGTGAGAGCGATTCAGATGAAGCATATTGTACAATGTTTGATTGATCGTAATACAGACGATGAAGGTTACAGTGGATTGCCGCAGCCAGAGTCGGACAACGATGAGTGGTATGCGGAAATGGAGGAGATCTATGGCAATGGCCGATTCATGCAAGGACTGTATGTCGGCCGCTTAGAGTAGGGTAAATCGAGCCGTCACCTATCTTATTTCTTTAAATAAACTTTGGCCAAACTGCGGCTGTCTATGTTATTGTCTGGTAAATTTCTAAAATGCCGCGTTTCGGGCTGCTTCAGCCCACGTCCAGAAATCCCAAAGTGCGGCTGAGCTTCCAACCAACCACCAACCTCGAGCATTCGCAAAATCAGGCTGTGCATGTCTGCCTTACCCCGCTTCCTGATCATCGCAAAGGTGACCTTTTCTGTTGAATCTGTACTCGACTGCCTTTTCGTCAAACCCTAAACAGATCATGAAGTCGACTGTCCCACTCATGAACTACTATCAAAGTTGATACAGCCCAAGCCATCGACAACCATCTCTACGCCCTCGCCTAAACTTCTATGAGCACCTCAGTCCGCAATGAGGTTCCTCAACGTGAAGACCTTGAAACTACATAGTTTTGATGACGCCTCTGCATACCCGCCCTATGCGATCCTCTCTCATTGCTGGTATTCATCGGAACACGAGCTGACCTTCAAAGACTTTGAAGATCTAAGTCAGCACACTTCAAAACCCGGGTATTCCAAGATCATCAGCGCCTGCCATGCCACCGTTACTCAGGGCTACGACTGGCTCTGGGCGGACAGTGTCTGCATCAATGAAGAAGACGCAGTTGAGAAGGAGGAGACCATGAAAAAGATTTACTCAATGTTTTTAAAAGCAGGAATTTGTCTGCTGTATCTCAGCGAAATACCCAATGCGAATATCAAGGATGATGGTAAAGAAGTATTATCTTCAGAGGTTCGAAAGAGCCGGTGGGTGAGTCGAGCATGGACTTACCAAGAGTTAATTCCACCGCATAAGTCGGTATTTTATGCCGCCGATTGGTCTCAATTAGACCCAGAGTTTCAGGCTAAAATCAACACTAAAATACCTGGAGTGAGCCAAGACGATGGATCAAAAGAAGACAGAACACATCGCCATTTTCCGTACCAACCTCCCAGAGTCCGAAGTTCTCGGCGGAAGAGCAAGCCAGTCTATCAACCGGGGGCTGCCACAGAAGAAGAGATCCAAGCTGCCGAGAACCCAACCCCAACCCCAACTCCGTCACCTCCCCCGGCTGTAGTCGAACCTCAGCACAAAAGTAATGCTAGCCAAAGTAAACAACCCTCAACCACCACTGATGGTTCCGCCCCAAGAACTTCAGGGCCGACAGGGGCTGGGTCACCGAGTTCGTTCACATCCTTCAGCTCTGCTCAACCCGCCAGTAAGGAGGAGCGGGAAAGTCTTATCAACTCGCAACTAGATATTTACCTCAACACCCCTTACGAATCGGCACTGATGAGCTCATTCATACACAGAACGGGGTGGTCCGGTGACTCTGGTGACGACGATGTAACGAGGGACTTCAACGACCTGCCAGCAAACAGGTGAGGGTACCCCAAGGCTTAGATGCACAAGACTAATTTGTTGGGATAGCCAACACGGCATCCGTATCCTGATTCTTGACAACGACCATGCCGTCGGACATGCACTATCATCGCTGCTGCAAGAATTTTAATTCCAGCTATAGTCACTGTTGACAGTGGCTACGTGGTCAACTTAAAGGGATCCGGTTATGACATTGTTTTCGCTCGTGGGAAGGGAACTCCTTTGCTCTACATGCCGCCAAATTACAGCCACCGAGGGGCCGCCCAAATGTTAAAAAAAAGCCTTACTGTGCCGCTCTTACCCTCTTCTGTTCCAACGGTAACATTCGAGGAATATGGGGAATACCAGGTCATCTGCGAGTCGCAGAAGCAGATGTGCCTTGCGGGTCTTACATCAGCAGTACTTAGAGATGAGAAGGCCTACGGGAATGACTTCACGTTGAAGTTTGGGGTCGCGTTTTCCGATGGCTCTGTCTGTTCGCCACAAGTGTCGTTCTCGGATCTCGCTTCTCATAACTCTCCCTTGGAGCCTGTAGCGCAAGGTGAGCCATTGGATCATCCGACTATGGACCTTGCAACTTCGGGTCTCTTTGGTGATCAGCAGGCCATGGACCACCTCGCTAATGGACATCATGTCCTCCTCCGTCCGATGAAGGATGCAGGGCCAGCGGACAGCTACCCTCATAACCCTGGTTCTATCAATACCCAAAGCCCTAACGAGTATGGTAGTGTACAAAGCGAGGCCATCACCAATAGCCCATGTTCGTCAACTTTTGACCTCACAGTCCAGAGTAAAGGGACACATCCGTCGACCGTCCCTACTTCTCTGGCGCATAAGTCCCAAAATCTAAAGCCTCTCTTGAGCTCTCTGCAGGCAACAGTAGGCCAAGCCGACGAAGAGAAGAATGAATCACCAACTCAACACGAAGAAGAACAGAATCAGTGGTCTCCTCGCAAGTCCGAAAAGAGTCACGCTGAATTCGATAGAGCTACAACTTATTCTTTTGATACGCTCTCTGATGACCCCAAATTGCAATACTTCCAGGCCTTTATAGATCAACTCGCTGAAGATGTGAGGGCCGATATTCAAGGCACAACTATGAAAGACGTCGGACCAGGTTTCCTTGAAGACATCCTAAGAGAGTTTGCTTGGAAGCTACACGGAGAGGCAACCAACCCTTTTCAGCTCGAAACGTCTGTCATCATCCACCGTAAGAGGAGGTAAGCATGCAGTCTCCGTACATTCTTTAGTGTTCACAGCTTATACGCTCAATAGATATATTGTCGACCTTCTGGACTTCCAGGTTCCGTCATTTGAAACAGTTGAGAGCGAGTCGGTTCATAGTTTCATGGGCTCGGAGGAGGCAGACTATGAAAACGGAACTCCCACTGAACCCTTTAGAAAAGCAGAAGAAACGATTGTTGACTGGATAGGCGGCGTTAGCTCTGGAGCAACAAGCCACCTTTCACAAATGCCAAAGTATAGACAATTCATCCAAGGTTCTAACGCTTACCGATGGCTTCTGGCCAAGATTAGCCAACATCGTCAGCTTGCATGCGAGAAACCTAGCAGTATGGACAAGATTGGAGCAAGCATCAGAGAGGATCTCAGATCTCATATCTCTCAACGCAAGATTAGTAGGAGTCAAGCGCCTATCTGGTTCGAGATGATATACATTCTGGGATGGGATCCAATGCGTTTGATGCGGCGTGCTGGGATTTCCTCAGACTTTGCTAAAGCTTTGCCCAACATTATTTGCTTGACCGGTAGCTGGAACGAAGCTCAGGCTACAACTGTTGCCGAGTACATGGAGCAAACATGGCCACAATCTGGTGGTGCTATCATTACTCTACTTCAAGAAATACTTTCGGTCTGGGAAAAGAGTAATGCTGGTAAGTATGTACTTTCTATCACGGCACATTTTGTAACATTACCGCAGGACATTCCGAGATTTCGGTTGATTGCAAACACTCTTTTGATCTCATTGCACTCAAAGGTGTTATAAAGCCTGACTCGGATGGCAATATCTGTTATCAAGTATCTGCAAAAGGTGGCTACTACATCGTGTCCGAAATAGGCGAACAAATATCTTGGCTGGCCTCTGCCCTTCGATCGGTTACAGGGACAGGCAGCGACTTTGTTTCAACTACACCAAGCATCGAGACTTTGTTCACAAGCGTAGTCAGAAGTAGAAGTAGTGAGAGGATCAAGGGTATTACAGGGACCTGCTGCATCAAGTTTAGCCAGCGAATCGAAGCCCCCGACGATCTAGATTCAGGTTCATGCTGGAAACGGCTGTTCAGCCGTCCTAACTTTGTACGCGGCTACCCGATTCAGCGACGCTCAATGCCTCGAACTGGCCTGGAGATGCCCTTACGATATGCAGCCTCTATTGTGGGATCTTATGAGGTGGTTCGATGGGACGGGAGACTGTTGATCAAAGGATTCAACATGCTAATGATTGCTACACATGTGGCTACTGATGTGATGGTGTGGCATCTTTATGTCACTGATAAACCTGGGGTGAGAATCTCATATGTTGACCCAAGGCTTGATGAGATCGAGTTGAAGTATCCTGAGGAGATATCTCTGCGGTACATTGAGAGGAAACGTCATATCATAGGATGGTGCACTAAAGCTACAGACCTTTGTGGTGAGAAACCCTTTTCACGCTCTGGCCAATACAACAAGAGTGGCCACTGACAGGTAACAGGAAATCCTACAGCCAACCATGCGATAAAACCCGCTGGTTTACCTAGGGCACCAGCGTCCACCGTGATCGATAAATTATATATCGAAGGCGGCAGCCCCGTTACGGCTGGTCTCATGTTAGATATAAACAAAAAAGAGCAGCCATTCTGGCTACAACGAGAGAAAGACTACCCAAGTCTCCTTAATTGGGTCAAACTTCAACCTGTTGTATTCTATGATGTGGAGGACCGACGTGCATGGCTCGTCGATGGTGCTTCTGCCGTGCTCCATCTTGTCCGCGTGTCGCTTCACCGAGATACAAACGACCCTGAATCAGCCTACGACTGGGTCTACGATCCCAGCAAGCTTAAGGATTACTGGCCTGGGGTTGGAAGTCGCCAAGCAGCACTCCAGACTTTGAAGCGATGGGAGAATCGTGCTCTGAGTGTTTACGTCGTTGGTAACCATGTCGATCCGAATGGCGCCCTGATTCCAAAGTATTCTACATTCGAGGAGCGGGTGGAAAACATTCTTCACTCTATAGAAAGGCTTGTCGATAGGCAGGCCAAGACAGCCTCCCAAGATGGCATCAGGATTTCTCAAACGCTGGATCCACGTCGAGAAATCGTTGGTTTCGACATCGTCGACATCATCGATCCGTCGGTCCCGATATATCCGCGGATTCAACATCTCAACGCGTGGGGTCATGGTTGGAATGACTTGATACCAACAATCGGCATAACTACTATCTTTGGGCGCAATTTTGGGGATCTAATACGATCTGATAAGCCTGATGAAATTTGTCCAAATTGGAGATCGATTCCAACAGGAAGGGACTACTTGGCTGCGTCTGTTTCGACGATGCAGATGCTCCATGAGAAGCGGCTCCTTAGAATGGAGCCGGGTCTTGTCGGAGGTGAACTCACCAAGAAGATTACATGGGTAGCCTCCAAAGAGGCATCCGTGCAGTGCAATTGCCTCAAGAGACACAGCATGAGAGGTGCCCAAGTTGCTAGGAGCGAGTGCAATCATAACCCTGTCCAATTCCTTGCCAGGAAATGGTGGTCCCGTACAACACCACACGGCCTAAAGCCTGTGCACTTGGGATCGCTTGATCCTGGAGGGGCCGTGATATTTGGCCACACTGTTCTGGGACTAAGGGCTGGAGACAGATCAACGTCGAGACAGGCAGATGATGACGGTGCTGCATCGACGACCAGCGGCGAGCAGACCCAAGATGCTTCAGCAACTGGCTCAATCGTGAGTCAGACGACATCCATTACTGTCCCTAGTGTTGGAAATTCCAGCCAGGACGTGAGAAGTGCTCAGCAGAGCTTGGATAGTACAAGTAACGCGACAGGTGAGGGTAAGAGGAAGAGATGGTCAAAGTTCAAGGATTGGGTCAAAAGATAAGTGTTACATAGGTTTGTTCGGGTACCCGATGTGCTTTAGAGAGCAGATTGTAGATACGATCTCTTTCAAATGGCTTGGGTGAGAATGAAAGTCTTGCTTCAGGATACAAAAGGAGCTGTGCTTTCAGCAGCTTTCTCCGTCATCTTTTTTTGTCAAGAAGTGACAGTGGCTGTCATGTTTCTACCAGCAGAGCCACCGAGTCAAGCCTTCTCAAGGTTAATACGTAGTTTCTTCCCTTCATCACCTTCAAACAAGTCGATTACTGAATCTCACAGGCAACGGAAGAATTCTTGTTGCGCAGGTCATGACCCGATTGTGTGCAAAGCCAAGCGGTAGAGCACTAACAGATCCAGCTGACATATACGTATGGAACTGTTAAGCCACTAGTGTGCTGGCGGCTGGGATCTGTACCGGGTACAGTATCGCGATTTAATGGCAAGTTTGACGTTAGAAATTACACTATAACTCAGCGCCGGTAGATGATGATAAAGTTGCAACGAGAGGTTGCAGACAATGTCACCTCCAAATCTGATTGTCACATTCTGGCAGGTCCTCACCAAAGTGTATTCCTTCGCCATAAATGACCATATTGTGCGAGATTACAAGCTCATAAGCACTGAATCCAATGCAACCGCGTGAGATTAATCAACTTTCACACCGAATGGAACTTCAGTCTAAGCGAAGTGTACCTAATTTAGATGAAACGAGCAATACATGCGCAACAACCACGCGACATCTTGAGGCATGAATTGTCTCTGCCGAGCGAGAAACTTACGCGCCCTGTTTCGCCTCAACCAGAGCTCCACGAATGTTTTGCCAGCCTTGAAACATCAATGATCGAATCCAAGTCGCATCCCAGCACTCGGTCGGATTGGTTTCTGGAATGAGCATCGTGTGATTCTAGTATACTGAGATAAGAATTGATGAATCATGTAAAAGTCTATCATTACGATATAAAATCTATATCGTGCCGTGTAGGCTTATGCATAAGCTTGTTAATAAGCCTTGAATGTATGTCATGTCCGAAAGTCGGGTGAATGCACCCGTAGAAAAGAAAAGCCAACACGCGTTTGGTGCGGAATGAATCAAGGTCCCCCAGCTGACTCGTCGTCAATGCTACTCGCTACTCCAAACGCCTTGTTTTGATGCCGATGCTATGTAATGAATGTCTAGTAGAACTGAGAAATGTTAGCGATGGTCTGTAGTGTGAAACAGCGGGCGGGAACTTACCAGATTGAATGTCCAGAGGAGGACGAGGAGACCAAGCATGCGGAGCTTGAGGTTGTTGGCCCACGAGGACTTTGAGGGCATGTGTCTCGTAAAGCCAGAGAGCATGTTTCCACTCATGAGAGGCTCCGCGTCAGCCTTGGCCTCCACGTCGTATTGCTCCTCTTGCTCCTGGGCAGCCCAGTCCTTGGTCAGAAGCTTGACCATTCCACCAGTAGCGTCGGCAACGCGGGAGCTTATCCACAAGAAAACAGGAACGATGATGATCAGAGACCTCCAGCGGTCGCAGAGGAGGCTACCGTCACCCTTGAAGGTGTCAAGCAGGAGAAGACCCTTGGTATCGGCAGCGAGAAGGATGTGGAACTGAAGAGTAAAGGTCTCGAGGGAGCATCGGCCAATCCAGGCGAAAGTGCGAGAGTACCATGTACGAGCGGCGGGGAACATGTTGCGAGCAGCGATGAAGCCCATGATGGGGATGAAAGAGAAGACGGGGTGAAGGGCAGTGTAGTCCTGCTTACTCTCGGCGCTGCTGACAGCAATCCACCAGTACAGGGGAATGGAGAGAATACCAGCGACACCAGCCAGGCCATAAGACTGGGTGAGGATCTTGTTGTACAACTTGGTTCGGACGGAAGCGACACCCATGATGATACCGACGTAGACAATGAGACCATCAAGACCGAGACGGAACTGCCACTCGTGAAGGTCCCACTCAATTCGGAAGACCAAGTTCAAAGCATCGAAAACCCACTGCAGGACGGGTGTGTATAGCATAGCTCCGGGGCAGATGGCTGCAGAAACCGCAATCTTGCCCATGAGCGCCCAGGTGTTGTCGTTGTATTTCTGGCCAATTGCGAAAAGGGCGTAAATAATGAGGAACCAGAAGCTGACGAGGGGAGCGAAGTAGTAGAACATGTAGTCGGTATTCATGAAGAAGGGCAACGCGCAGCTGAGGAGGTTAAGACGGAGAAGAACGGCGGCGACACGCTTGAAGGAGAAGTCCTTCTTGGAGCTGAAGAAAACACCATGACCGAAACCAGTCTGGAAGAGATAGGCGGCAACGAGGAGACGGATACCGACGTAGATGTTGAGGTCGCGCGAAGCACCTGTCCAGTGATACACGAGGATAAGAGCCTGCATCCATCCCTTCCACTCATCGGTCTGGTCACGGGACAAAGGCTTCGCGTCGTCGAGAGTCGCGGGGGAGGCAGTAGGGGCGGCGCCGGGTCGAGGAGGGGGAGGCTTGGACTTGGTCATGAAGGCAAAGCCGACGATGAAGCAGAGAGCGGACATGAGGTTAAAGTCGAACATGCTGTACTCCTTAGAACCCTTGGCGAAAGACTGTGTTCGATCGGCCCAGTAGCACGCAAGGAGACCAGTAACGAAGGTAGCGACATCGAGGTTGAAGATGGCCCACTTGGGAGCCTCGCCAGATCGAAGAGCAAGAATCTCGGTGATGGCAGTACCGCCGACGTAGAGAATACCAAGTGTGACGAGTATAATCTGGACGAAAGACTTCTGGCCATAGTCAGTGCAGCAAGTGCGGTCATAAGGATAAGACTTCTGGATGTCGAGCTTGGCATTGCATCGAAGGTTGAGAAGGATCTGGGCCTTCATCTCAGCAACACTGTCGGTGACATGGAAGCCATTCTCGTGGTCGCCGATAGCATCCTGCTGGTCATACGACAAAGCGGGGAAAGACCACAGCATGGGAATGCCAGACTCTTGCTCCTGTGTCTTGAGGAACTCATCAATCTCTTCGACCTCACCAGGTTGCGAGGCGACACCAGTCTTGCGGTAATCGGGGAGCATGTCGTAGAAGGGCGGGGCAATCGGTGCCCAGAACACTTCGTTGCCAATTCCATCGCGAGGGTCCATGGGTCGGTTACCGAAAGGCTCAAAGTCCATGTTGGAAGCGAGCTCGGACATGTTGTTGAAGGCGGCCTTGAACATGGGAATAGACTCCTCCTTCTCAAAGCGGGCGGCGAACCAAACTCCCATTCCCATGAAGGCCAGGGCGGGGCCTTTTTGCTTGTTGACGGGGACCTCGTTGATCCTCTCTTCGTGGTAGAGGGTGAGTTCATTGCGGGCGATGGCGCTGTCGTTGCCAAATGGATCCCAGATCTCCTTGAGTCGAATGCCGCCGAATTCTACATCGTGGCTTTCGTGCTTCTTGCTGTTTGCTCGTACTTCCTCGGCCTTTTCTGCGTCGAGCTGTCGCGATGTTAGCGATTGTTAGTCATGCAATTAAACATTGACCAAATGATTCGACAACACATCTACAATTCAATTATCATCGACTTACCAGACGGGCCATGCCATAAAAGACCTGTCGAGTCGTAGAGTCACCGACAAAAAGCATGTGTCGACCCTCCATGCACTCCTCAATCTCCTCCTTCTTGTACTTGTGAATCATACATCCGGGAGGCTGCCAGTTTGTGAAAGGCGCTCTGCTTCCATTCTCTGCAGGAGTATTCAACCAGGTTCCATCATTAAGCAGAGCCTTACAGCGATATGGATCATCGCTCAGTTGAAGCTGATTGACGGCGATGCCTAAGATGACGACCAGCGTCAAGCCGAGGGCCAGCACCCGGTTAAGCGCAACACCGGAAGTTGGGAGTGCTGCGCCTATTGTCATTGCGACGATTTATTTTTAGTGGCGATGAGTAACGATTGTTTGTGGCGCCTAGCGCGGCGAGCGAATGACGAAAAGGAGAAAAAGAATTCGTTATGTTGAAGATGAAACCATCTGAAGGATAAAATCCAAAATGGCGATGGACGTTGACGTTGGTGGAGTTTTGTTCAAGGGAGCGAGAGACAGACAGACAGACTGTTGGAATGCAAAAGAGCCAGAAACAAGAAAAAGAAACTGAGACAATAAACAATGGAAAGTTCAAGACAAGCGTAAGGAGGGACTTGACTTGCGTTTTGCGTTTGCGCGAGAGGGAGACGGACAGACGATCACTTTGAAACGATGAAAAAGATCTACTGTGAGGCGTATATGAGGTAACAATACGCGTAAGTCTTCTGGAGTCTACAGGCCTGCAATTGCCCTACGGATGCCCCTGATCGGCAAAGCAAAAGCTGGCATGACCCTCGCAGGGGTTCCAGTTCCACAGTCCGCAGAAAGAGGACCATGTCAGGGTGTCACTTTGGTGGAGAAGACTGTGTGAGGGCAGCGGCAGCGGCGCCAGATAAACAAGTCTGTCCTGTCCGCATGCGGTTACAGTACAAAGGTAAGGTGATTTAGCACGTTGATGAATTATCGTCAATAGTCTCGCAACGGCGTGGTGCTGGCCCTTGCCTCGTGATACTGACTTTGCTGCTTTAAGGTTGTTTCTTTTAAGGTTGTGGGGGTCTAGAACCCATCAATAACGCCAAGTCTCTTCTCTCTCAGTAAAGAGGCCAATCTCTCTCACGCTGTGTCTGCCCCTTACAGCTCCAGCGCTGACCCCTGACGCTTTAATCTCTTGGCTAAGAGCGCTAGAAGCTGGGGTGGCTGGCTGAGTGGAAATTCGCAACACGCCGTTTGCAGTGGTTATCGCTAATTGGAATGTGATGGAGCACCAACTAACTAAAACCTAAAGGAACGGGGAAAATTACTTTTCTTTTGCCCCGAGATGCAACGCTCAAGCGAACATTTTATGGTCTGCTAAACTCAAAAACTCAAAAACTCAATCTTTCACCCCTTGGCCTCGATAAAGAGAGGCCAAAAAGCTTGAAGGGATTAAGGTTACAGAGGTGTCTAGCCCCAAACGAGGCAAGCTGCCGGCCAATGCCTGTCCTGTCGCTTGAGTCTTGACCACGGACGGACAAGTGTCTCAATCAGTTGTTGCGTCATTTGTGAAGCGCTGGTTTGGCGTTGTCTCCCCCTGTAATGCCCTCCCTTACAGGGGGTTTCGTCCCCTGGAACTTTGGTTCATGATCTGAGTCTGAGTCTTGGTACAGATAACAACCACACGAGGTGGGTGGATTTAATTACATTACATCCTGCGGGATTCCGGTGATATATATATATAGTATACCCACCGCCTCATATTGGCGAAATGCGTGATTCTCATGTCAGCGACTTCGAATGTTATAACTCATCTTGGACGTGAGACTCTGAAACCGGAAGCCCCCACTGATTCTTGGTGTGGCGGTAGTTTTTCCGCCGATCGTGCGACAATCAGGTTTTTCTGGTCTCGCGGCAAATAAACAAGACAAGGACAAGGAAATTCCGGAATTAGATGGAGAATGGCAAAATGAAGAGTTGCCAAAACTCAATATTGCTCCTCAACGTAAGGTCGTAAGCGAAGCTGGTGGAGTTGAACCTCGAGAAGGATGGGCCCTCGGATTCCGATTGACGATTTCGGGCTAAGGGATGAGTGAGTGAACTTGGCAGCGCACTACGCAAAGCTTGGCGATTGAGTTTCTTTGACGGCGATTTGAGGCAACAGTTTAACCTTATGCTCGTTGATGTGCAACTGCCGCGATTAGTGGCATTGAATCTGATAATTCCGATGCTGACCGCCAACTTGCATTGGTTGCCGGCAGGGCTCGACCTGGTGAAGCAATTAGCCTGATCTTGGACCAGGATGGGGTTCTGTGAGAACATCGTCATTTTCGCTGCGGGCCTCCTCCATCCTCGGCTACGCTCAAGAAATCTTGAATGCATCCGTCGATAAGTATTGTAGATCAGCATCTGCGATGGGACATGATGGAATTGTGTCTACGGAGTAACTGCTACCACTTAGTTGCTGCTGTGCACTACACCATACTGATGTGATCTGCTTGTGTTTGTGCGTGGTTTTTGCATCATTGAGTTGCTGTCAACGGCAGATTGACTCAGTGACTTCTATTCGGTCAACCTGCACACGGATGCCCGAAAACGGTCAACTAACAGACCACGTTAATAGAAACCGCGCAATGAAGAGTTTATTGGCGATTTTATTACATATTCTGTCGCTGCGATAATTTGTAATTAGAGAATCCCACATCCCGTGCCGTTGTCTTTTCCACTATAGGGTAGCTTGATTTGGTTCAGCTAAACGCGTCACCTTCATTGACAATCAAGATTCGAATGACGAATGCCTTCATCAATTTTCTGGGTTGTGTACATAGCTTATTATTTACGATAAAGCACCGGCGATTGCTCATTATCTAACATAAAGTTGCGATTTCGGACTGTTCTCATCAATTATGTCTCACGTGAGTCAGCACATGACTTGTAGCAATCTTATCAATATCTAATCAGTGATAGACAATCTAATCGTAAGCAGCTTATCTTATCAAGCAGCTAAGTCATCTTTCACAACAGTTACAACTTACAGCACCATATCTGCTTGTAGATGCTATTTATGTGACCACAAATTGATATAATAGGATTACAGTGTCTTATAAGTCAGACTTAATTCCGTTGATATGCCATGGTTGGCACGTTGCTGGAGATCATGAGTCAAGTTGTCTGCACTTCCCAACAGAGTCTCCTCACAGAAACAAGCCAACAACTTCAAGCTCTGTAAAGGCATAGTGATATAATATAAAGATAAATCCGAGTTTCTAGATAGCTCCTGGAGCTAGAATCTGATATGGTAGGAAAATATGGCGTTATATTCTTGCCAAGACAAAATCCTCAGACTGTTGCCTTGTGATTGTTCAGTCGTCGTAAGTGAGAGTGTACTAGTGGTAAGCAATTTAACTTGAAATGCAGCATGCTGTTGATGTTACATCAGTATTGAACGTGAAATTGATATGAAGACAGCAAGCGTTGTCTCATGAGTTGACTAACCTTGAAAACTACAGTGGCCGCATCAGCTTCTTCATGGGGAAGACCTCACTTCAAGTCATATGAACAGTACTCGAAGCTGTAAGATAAACCTTGAGGCTGCAGGTGCATTAATATTTAATCTAGAATAATTTGTATTCTATCGAATTCTGCAGCCAACTTTGGCTTGATAAACAACCAATAGCACCGGCTCTGGGAACCAACAGCTGGAGATGCAGGCCGATGCTTCGATTCACATGCAAGTTCATCATGATCCACGGAAACTCACCGAAGTGGCTGGTTGCTGGTCGACGCAATTAAATTCGACTTACAGATGATCAATCCTCCCGAATTTGAGACTAATTGTGCGTCGTGTGAGTTAAATGGACTTACTGGGTACCTTAAGTTAACAGGAAAATCATCTATATCATTCATTCTGACTTTCCTTTCTTCATTGACCGCGTGCAGACTGTGATCAAACTTTTTAGAACAGACTTTGGAAGGTTGGAAGAGGAAAATAAAGAAAAGTCTGAGATCAAAGGTCACAGCCAGATATGAGAGGCACGAGTTGTGACGTCCTAAATGCGGAAGGCATATGTTCTGTGCCACAGGATGCAACGGAAGATCTCCATCTTGCATAAAAGATAATCACTATGAATGCCACCTTAAGTCTTAATTTAGACCTGACCATTCAACTCAAAGTGGAAAGCCAGGGTTCTTCAGAGTCTGAACAGACTGTGATTAAGGTCAACGTCTTCTGATAGTTAGTCTTTCGAAAGTTGAAATCACTTTCCTTGGTATTCTGAAGTTTCACAGAAACAGAGCCAACTAACCTCTATGACTTCCCCTCATAGGATATCAAAGAGTGTCCAGTGTCAGCTGAGAGATGCAGACAGACTCTGGGTAAGGCACAGGTAGTCCCTGCATAATAAGCATAAGTCAACCACCAAGTTATAAGCAATGCGGTATAGAACCCGTCTTCTCTCACGCATGATCAAGAAGCACACCATCGGGATGCAACACCACAATCAGCTTAATCAATTGCTTAATTTCGCGGGCAATTGCTTCATCGGGCCCAAGTCCCCATGGCTGCAGAAGTTGGTTGAGCAACATCGCCGCTGAGCCCTTGCTCTAGCGAATCCTTCAGCCAATGTAACCAACCCATTTCGTCACATTAGTCGTCATAATCCCTCAATTCAGATTCCGTCACAGCCCTAATGCGCACACATGCAACTCCATCGCATGCTTTTCACCGTGACAGCCGCGGCCAAAGATGCCGCAATCCTTGCAACGCTGACATGTCTCCCCACATAATATCGTAGATTGCCAAGTTAAGATCAGCCACTTAGACAAAAAGCCCGCGAACTACCAAGAGGTTACCCCATGGGGATATGGGCTCATAGACGTTGGTCGTCGACAACACGGGGCTGAGTTCCTCTTTGAGGATAGATGCGGGGATACAGGTTGGGATTACACGAGGCCACCACCGTAGCCTTCCGAAAGGCACAGCAAGAGAAAACCCCAACTTGCATGTGAAGTGTCGGTATGGACAGTACTTAAAGACGGGGTAGCTCTTGAGACACGAAGAGTTTCTCCTTGGCAGATCTTGCAGTTCAATTGACCAATCGATTACTCGTTGCATCAAGCTCTCAGACAATATGCGTCTCAGCCTTCTCCCCTTGATTGCCCTCGCTGGCTCTGCCTTCGCATCTGGAGATTCTATCTCGACAGCCATTGATAACATCTCCAATGCCACGCTTGCTCTCAACAAGACCATAGCGACGTGGCCGCAGACCCTCCTCGGTGCTCTGCCTATCACTACAAAGTCAACACTGCTCCTCACCGAGATCCACACGGGCTTTGTGATCGCTCGCGAGTCTGAGCCTCTATCT